TCAACAACGAGAACAGCTAAAATCAGGAAAATTGAACCTGACCTTCATTTAGTCACAGGAAACAACATATCTAAATTTTAAAAGATTTCGTCAAAGCGTTTTCATGTTAATGAACGGACACTGTTTGGCAGCCTCCCGCCCGCCGTACATCCCCAAATCAATAACTGATTTTTCTTTCAAAAATGATTATCGTTATTATTATCATTATATTACTATTAAATAGACAAATGAGGCGATTACCTAGTTTTTGCTTCTTAGCAGTTATATGGTATCATCCTGTCCAATAAGAAATATCTTAACAGATAGGTATAGGACCTACATTGTTTAATCATTAGTTAAAATTATGCTTATATTAGAACTTGTTTTCAGTAATTGCAAGTGCTCTTAAAAGGTGCCAGGTGTCTTTTGTCTTTTTGTTATTTGTATTTGTACTAAGTATCAAACTGATTTTTAGTTTGTTCGTATGAAGTGTTGTTACATCACTGTCCCTGGTTAGCCAAGCATTGTGCACTCATTTACATGTTAAACCTGGTCGCATTCTTTGTGTGTCTGTCCCATGTCAGGAACATGTAATCCAGTGGTTTTGTTGGTTGCTGTCTGCAATATTTGATTTTTTGTTCACGTTGTAAATTAAATCAGACCATTGGTCTTCTCTTTTTACATTTTTTTCCTATTTGGGGCCTTTTATACATATGACTTAATTGCTAAACATCATAAATTTTGCTCATTGTTGAAGGCCAGATAGTGACCTGTAATTGTTCACACATATGGTCTATGGATACTTGTCTTATTGATCATCATACCACATCTCCATATTTTTATATACACTGTTGAACACATCTTTATAAAATGCCTTTTCATTTCTGATTGAAGCAAAATGATACACTTTGATATCTCTATTGTCTAGATTTGAGACAATTTAGAGGTTGTCAGTCTTGTTGAAGGTAATATTTGACTTCTAGATGTCTTTACTTATTGTATTTTATTGGGTTTCTTTCTCATTGGCATATACCCCTTTATTCATATTTCACCATGCCTTAAAGTCATCAAGTGAATATGCATTACTTATTTCCATGTTACATGATGAAGTAAGCGTTTTTATTGTTCTTCATAGTGACTGTAGCTAGAAGGAATTCAGTAATTAAGAACAGGGTTTATACATTGAGATAAAACAGCTTATTTCAGTTGGAATTTGAAGGCAAAGCTGTTTGCTTATATACAGATCATTATAACCATTTTCAGCAATATTCAAATCAATTGTCACAACTTATTTCCAATGCTATTTGGTCTTACAAAATCATTAAACACTTTGAGGAAAAACTACTCTACTCTAAATCCAAAATGTGGATTAGACAGCACTAGCTGCAGAATTGTAGCTCTTAGGTCCTTTCGATATTTTTTGACAATTCGCGGACCAAATGATTCCAAATTGTCAAAAAAAATCTATAGAACCTAAGAGCTACGGTTCTGCAGCCAAGACAGCACTTAATATTACTGTAATTTGTACTTTGATGTTCATTGATAATGACAATCTGCATAGAACAATCTTGAGTTTTTCTATGAATGAGTTACACCGTTCAAGGAGTCTAATATACGTCCTCGGCACGGGTATAACTTTGACGTCTATGAAGACAACTCGGACTGCCAATTAGTCAACTTGGACCGTCTATAATGCCAATTCAAACAAGTATAAAATTAGACTATAGAGTTTTGGCTATATAAATAATTTAATGAAAAAGACTGTGTCTGAAGAGTATACAAATGACGAAAAAGACAACTCGGACTGTTTATGAAGAGACATCTATATAGACAATTCAATATCACAATTTTTAGACTTGGGACAATTTGTATTGACATGCATCTGTCTATTGTTGAAGATTGAATGACGCTCCCTTGATTTTTTTTATTTCTGATGTATGAAAGCTGTATGATTAAATGTAATGTTTTGGTAGATTCTATTTTTCTGCTTGACATATGTTATATCCTCTACTATTTTTAAAGGACTGTTATTAGTCCAAGCATACTCCAATTTTAAAATAAGACTATAACTATATAATACACAAACACGTCTTTATTTCATCAAAGAAATAATTTCAAGTCAGGTAACATTAGTAACAAGTATGTCATTTACACAAGCTACATATAAATTTAGCACTAAGTAAAACCCAAGACACACAAAATCAAAGAAAGAACTACACTTTTTGTGTAAATTAAGTTTTATAATAAATTGATAAAGATAAGTAAAAATTTGAATTCACATTAAACATTTTTTTAATATGTTTTGCAAATTCAAATGATATTATCAAGTAAAATATAACATTAAGTCATTTAATAATTGATAATCATTTATATATAACATGTATAGTTCTTTCAAATCCTTTTTTAATATTTTGTCTGAATTAATTGTCATTATAGACAACTAGTTGACTTATTAGTTGGTCTGATTTGACTCAGAGTTGTCTCCGCTTTTGTCCTTGCACTGGTTGACCCTTCATTGAACGGTACGAGTCAAATCGGCACCTATAGAAAAAGTCAAATCGGCACCTGGTTAAATCAGCATCTAGTCAAATCGACACTTATTTAAAGTCAATTCAGCAAATGATAATGCAACTGGCACTTATTTTATTTTTACCGTTATCTGTCATTTCTAGTTGAGAATAGATTTTCGTTTTATTTTAAAATATATTTTTTTGCAAAATTTCAGAGGTTTATTTTGTACATTTTAAAAAATTCAGCACATGTTATTAAGCTGGAAGAATACACAATAAGCAATAATCAGTTGGCTTTCTTTAAAAAACTTATGAATTTATCTATTACAAACAATAATCTGTTTATTGTTTTAACAATTTTCAGATAGATTTTGATCTTTTATAATTAAAAAAAAAAAGTAAACAAAGAAGCCATTACACAAGCTGTTGTTAAAAATCCACAGATGCAGATAAAAACTGATTTTACCATTGTAATTTAAATTGTTCTTTTTCATGAAAAACAGAGACTTTATGGTTTACTTGCAAAACATAATGTTAATTGTGGATGCCGAAATTAACCAATTCCAGATTTGACTAAGTGCCAATTTGACCAGGTGCCGATTTAACCAGGTGCCGATTTAACCAGGTGCTGAAGTGACTAGAATTCTCATTGAACAATCAATTCTCAGTACGGCTTACTGTGACATAAAAACATGTGACGTAGGAAATGTATGGGAAAGTGCTAAAGTCGTCTATATGAATTAATGTGCAGGAGGATGAAAAACTGGAAGAGTCATCAGCTTCGATTTCTACAGAGACATATAATACATATTATATGTCTCTGATTTCTATCATTCGTTGTCTAATGACAACTTTACCATATTGGCATCATAACAATGGAAGCAAGTTAACTCGTACCACGTAAACTCGTACCAAAAAAGTTAACTCGTACCAACGTAAACTCGTACCAATCAGAACTCGTACCACTGAAAACTCGTACCATTAAAAATATATTCAAAAATACGAATGTTTTATGATTTTTTTTGGTACCCAAATCCATTCAATGTTACTGATTTGGAATGATAAAAAAATTATATCAAATAGTGGTCAGTAAAAGTTTAAAAAAGAGTCTATTCAAGGGAGACAACAAAGCCAATCTGCCACGGTTTTCTCTATCCAATATTACACAATGAAAATTAGACGGTCATTGTAATTTCAAATTATATACATTTTATAGACTTAAGAGGTATTGAGTGAAATTAAAGTTATATATTCATCATTAAACACCATTTGAATGCATTTAAATAAGTTGGTACGAGTTTACAATGGTATGAATTTACCGTGGTACGAGTTAGTGTAAATGCTCTTTTGTTCCGACGTTGGAAAGTTCCGGGCGGAAAGAACTAACTAGCCGAAAAGTTTCGGAGGAACATATTAACTAGTTACTTTGTTCTTCCTCTGGTTTAAAAGTTCCACCGGAACAAAGTGACTAGTTGAAAAGTTCCAACAAAACATATCAACTAGTTAGATAGTTCCTTTTTGCCAAATTAGTCAAAACCGGAACTAACAAACTAGCCCAAAAGTTCCAACGGAACTTATCAACCAGGCAGAAAGTTCCATTTGGAGAATTGATGCAAAGTATAAGCGCAACATATTATATTTGAACCTTTCAAAGGGAAACCAAGATACTGATTACAAAAGTCAAAAGGAACTGATCAACTAGCCACAAAGTTCCTCTTTGGCAAATAAGTCAAAACAGGAACTAACAAACTAGCCCAAAAGTTCCAACGGAACTTATCACCAGTCACAAAGTTCCATTTGGAGAATTGATGCAAAGTAAAAGCGCAACATATTATCTTTGAACCTTTTCAAAGGGGAATAAACATACTAGCCACAAAAGTCAAACGGAACTTATCAACTAGTCACAAAGATCCTCTTTGTTAGGGTTAGGGTTAGGGTTAGGGTTGGGGTTGGGGTTAGGTTAGGGTTAGGGTTAGGGTTAGGGTAAGGGTTACGGTTAACTATTCAACTAGCTACATTGTTCCGGGACTTTTCAACTAGCTATTTTTTTCCGGAACTTTTCGACTGCTCTCGGAATAAAAACAACTAGTTGGAAAGTTCCATCGGAACGAAATAAGTAGTTGAAAAGTTCCGCCGGAACAAAGTAACCGACGGAACATAGTGGCTGTTACATTAGCAGTGGTAAGAGTTTGCATTGGTACGAGTTTTTTTTTAGTGGTACGAGTTGACATTGGTACGAGTTGACATTGGTACGAGTTTACAATGGTACGAGATAACTATAATTCGCCCAATTATAACAATTCATCAATTGGGCCATGTAATCAATAAAATTACAAAGTGACAACCTCCGACATCATAATGTTTATATAATACGCATTTGCTACTGTTCACACGTGCTTACTGTTCAATAGTGCCTAATGATGATGATTCAAAATCACGTTGCCCAGGACCTGACATGTCAACAACATACACGCGATATTGTCAGAGACCTTCCGAAAAAAAATTCCGGAAGTAAATAAATTTTGACGTAATATGGGTCACGCGACTGCGCCATTTTGTAGGAGTTTTGATTATTAACAGATCTTACAGCTGAAGTAACCTATCTATTCGCATACAAAAACAAGGTAATTTCATTCAGAAGTTAGATCTGTACTCATATTTAAGTTTAACCGCAAATTTCAGTCATGAAATAGTCCAGGAACACAAACAACCACTGTTCAATGACACCTAGTTTTTATTTTACTAAATGTTGATCAACAGGACAAATAAACTAATCAACAAACTATACAACATCATAGTATTCATTAGACTACGTTAATATCTATAGTTTTTGCAAGCGAGGGAGATATTTTCTATCAAAATTAAATACCAAAATTATAATCACGATAAATTACCCATGGTAGAAACTTGACCTGAATAATTTGATTTTGATCAGCTGATCCTGATCATTAGCGCTTAGGTTATATATTAGTTTCTTCTTTTTTCTGCAATGAAAGATTGACATTAAAAGAAAGACTATGACAATTGGAGAAAATGCTTACAGTTAAGTATGGTGCCATAAGCTTTTCAGTAGTCAAGTCTAACCAGAATATTTCAGTCATTATCATACCCGCCAACGGAAGCAAGTTAACTCGTACCATTGTAAACTCGTACCATGTAAACTCGTACCAAAAAAGTTAACTCGTACCAACGTAAACTCGTACCACTTGGAAGTCGTACCAATCAGAACTCGTACCACTGCAAACTCGTTACGTACCATTAAAATATATTAAAAAATACGAATGTTTTAAGATTTTTTTGGGTAAACTTAATAAAAAAAGTTGAATTACTTGAATTTTGTACTAGATTTTAATAAAAACTTAGACAAAAATATGAATGTTTTATGATTATTTTTTTTAAGCTTTATACAAAAAATTAAAATATCTTTAAATTTTATACCAGATTTTAATGAAAACTTAGACAAAATAATATATGATATATATGTGAATAAAACATAAGGTGTTTTTCTTGAGAGAAAAAATAGTAATATTTGATGTTTTGTTAATTTTTTATACATGAATGTTTTTGAAATTGTGGTAAATAAAGCATAAAAATGAAACATATTCTTTGTTATTCTGCCAACACTACCATTATTTATCCAATTAGACAAGGAAAATGAACTACAAATTGGTCATTGTAATTTCAAATAATATACATTTTACAGACTTAAGAGGTATTGAGTGAAATTAAAGTATATATTCATCATTAAACACCAATTGAATGCATTTAAATAAGTTGGTATGAGTTTACAATGGTATGAATTTACCGTGGTACGAGTTAGCAGTGGTACGAGTTAGCATTGGTACGAGTTATTTTTTAGTGGTACGAGTTGACATTGGTACGAGTTTACAATGGTACGAGATAACTATAATTCCCCGCCAACTTATTTAGGGATGAACTACATGACTTTGACACCTTATCCTGATACCATGATCCTGAAAAAAGCTCCAAAATACAATTATGGGAAGATCTACACTTAAAAATCAATTATCTTTTAAGAGTCACTCATGATTCAAGTACCCTTATTGTGAATATTGATCATGTTTATCAAGGATTTGATACTAGAATTACATGTTGCAAAGTTCTCATAAGTGATCATTATCAAGTACATGTATGTTTGACTAGGAAAGAAAAAAATGCCATATATATTAAAAAATATTTTCATACTACCATTACCAGTGTTCTCCCCAGGATATTTTTAAGGCGCAAAATTCAAGGGCGTGTAACACTTTTTTTAGAGTGATCTGAAGCAATAAGTCATAAATCATGACCTGCAATATGAATTATAATGCTTTGTGTTATGTGTTTAATAATGCAGAGTATTAATGAATTACAAGAATATATATATGAAATAAATTGATTTTAAACACAAAAGTTATTTATATTCAGTCAATTAAAGAAGTCAAAATATAAATATTCATCTCTACTCTCTGCTCCTTCTAGGGATATTGTTTTTAGATAGTGTTATTTTGTTGGACAGTCTGTTCCTCAACTTTGTCTTTATCCTCTTCAGGGTTAAAAATTAAACCCCCACTCACAATAACTTTTGCTTATACCCCCTTTAACATTTCTAAGCCATGAAAACTCAGTCAGCCACTTGTCATTGAAACCAGAAACATGGTGCTTGCTTTTATCAATTGCTAAAACTTGAGCTTGGTTGGGATTAGGAGAAGCAATGAAATCTGCTTATACTGACAGTGTAGACGGAGGTGTATTCCCCTTTTCATTAGAAGTCATTGGTCTGAAAAAAACTTCTACTTCCATCATCTACCTTTTACTTATAAGTCACCCCTTTGTTATTTGCAGAGAACATGTTCATTCAGAATTAATAAAATGGAATATGGTTAAGATATTTGGTATACAACTTTTTAAAACAATTTTTTTTTATAAATGAACAGCTGACCAGTTTCCGTAGTTTCACATTACGCTTCCGTGCGTATTATTGTTTAATACTATCTTTGGCAGATAGATATAACCGAAATTTTACAAATTCGTTTAAGTTAAAACCATTGAAATTATTTACCAGTGACATTATACAGAAGCTGTGGCGATACTGTACCCGTTTTGATTGTCACATATTTCCCGACGCACGGATTCACGATCGATGTTCAATGATCATTTTATTTCTAAAAATATGACAGTTTCAGACGAATTTACCTTGCAAGCAACATTTTTTCATTTTCTATTAAAGTAAATCACTCCTCGTTATCTTTAATCAAACTTTATTTTAATTTTTTCAATTAATAATACTTTCATTCATAGTTTTCATCGTAAATATCTTTAGCAATGTGTATTCAAATTTATCATGTGTATTCAACACGTTCATTGGTCGTGTTTAAATAGATTCTTCTTCTCGACCAATGAAAAAATTCGTTATATAAATGGTCAAGTGATCACACACACGATGTGTAAATACAATGTATTTGCGATCTATTTCTTCAATTTCTGCACTGAAGTTTTTAAAATTTTTTGTTTTCTTCAAAAAATATCTATCTTCTTGATGATCACTTACGCTATTACCTGATAACATAGTCCGATAAGGCTGAGATAAGCGTGGCTCAGGTAAAACTAATTATCAGTTATTGCGTAACACTGACCGACCCATCAGCGGTGATCAGTTACTTGACAATTTTAACCAACATTTATTATGAAAATGTGAAAATTAACACGCTGCAGGATCAAGTATTAATGGACAGCGGCCAATTAAGACGCTGCGGGATCTACAAAAATATTATGAAGGCGCTGCGGTACCGCAGCGTCATATCGGCCTGGAGAGAATACTGAATTACTTACAGAAACTTGTTGTTTAACTTGTTGTTTTTAAGTATGTTCTAGATCTATGGATAGTAAAATAAGGGATATTTTCAGAGTGGATAAACTAGCCTAAAACAAGGTTAGACAAGGTTAATAGTGTTCAGTATATGATATAAAAATACAAAATTGGATAACAGTGGATACAATGAAGAAAAATATCCAAATCCTGTACCCAAGCACCTGTGTCATGTGTGTAAAATTGCAGATTTTTGGAGGAATTTTTTTTCTAACTTTTACAAATTTTGGTGATGAAATTGATCAGAAAAACATTTGTCATCTTGTAAGAATGCTGGCAAAATCAGTGTTCTCCTCAGGACCTTTTCGCATCATCATGATCATGGTAATGTGATGCAAAATTGCTAGAGAGCGATGCTATATGAAATGAGTTTCTTATAGGTAGTGTTATGGATGTGATGCTATCTGAAATTAGTTTCTTATAGATAGTGTTATGGATGTGATGCTATAGTTTCTAGAAACAAGATGGTATTTCATAATTTCCTGTTTACCAGGATGATACATGTATAAGAAATTTCTGGGGAGAACACTGAAAATGATTAAATGGTGGGAGGGAAATGCATGGATATAGTTACGATACTGTTGTCAGGTCATTAAAGATGGCATTTTTGGAATTAATATTAATTTATTCATCGGAAATAAACACATTTATTCTAAAACCAGTTGTTTGCATGATACGAGTTATGTTCTAATATCGTATATTTTATGATGGTATGATACTAAACCCCTACCATAGGGATTGTGCTTGATTTTCATATGATGACGATATAATCTTTCAATCTGTTTAATTGAGGTCTGGAGCTGGCATGTCAGTAACTGCTAGTAGTCCTTTGTTAATTTATGTCAATTATTGTCATTTTGCTTATTATCTTCTGTTACCTATTCTAACATCCGACTCAGACTTCTTTTAAACTGAAAACCATACAGTACAATACACCATGAACAATCATAGTAGTAATTAATAAAATAATAAAAGATAAAAGAACAACTGTTATTCTGTATAAATATTGGGCAAAAACAATAAACTGAGTGACTAGAACTATGGCAATGGCAGACTAAAAGTAGCTGATCTAGATTTTGTGGCACAAGATTGAAGAAAGAAGAAATGAATCTTTAATAAGAAATCTAGAACAATTAAATTCCTAATTAGTTGAAATGATTTTTGGCAAGATTTGCAGTACACTTTGCTGCCATCATACCTTAACCAGGGCCAAAACTTTTCCCAAACCGGGCGATATTTACAAGAATCTTTATTTACAATGTTAATACTGGTACTTTGACAATAAATTTCGGTCTTTGTGGACTGCCATACTTTTTTCTCGAAGTTCCTTATCAGAGGACGTTTCAAACATTTCCTCAGCATTTCATGTATAATTATTATTTTATCGCGACCAACAAAAGAGAGTAACGTTTTTATGCCCCCGTTGAGCGGAGGGGGCATTAAATTTTACCCTTGTCCGTACGTACGTATGTCCCAAAGTTGGTTTCCGTTCTCTAACTTTGATTGCCTCAACCAAATGCTATGAAACTTATACACAATGCTTATTACCACAAAACACAGATCAAGTTTGAATTTTGGTGGCGTGACTTTAACCGTTCTAGTGTTACAATAGATCACTAGCGCAACATTTATATATCAGTTAAATGTAAGAATATGATCAAAATATCTTCTGGTCTAACAGTCCCAAATTTCATGAATGTACTGTATGCCCCTACACAAATGGAAAAATTTCTGGATTTTTCGTTTCCGTTCTCTAACTTTAGCTTGCCTCAACCAAATGTTATGAAACTTATATACAATGCTTATTACCACAAAAAACAGATCAAGATTAAATTTTGGTGGTGTCACTTTAACCTATCTAGAGTTATGCCCCTTCACAAATGGAAAAATTGCTGAATTTTTTGTTTCCGTTCTCTTACTTTAGTTTGCCTCAACCAAATGTTATGAAACATATACACAATGCTTATTACCACAAAACTCAGATCAAGTACAAATTTGGGTAGAGTCACTTTTACCATTCTTCAGTTATGTCCCTTTATAACTTTATATGATATGCAAGCGGGGGCATCATCTGTGTCCCATGGACACATTCCCCATTTATTTGATATAACAAAACAACAATTCCCTGTAGGCATGTTTACAAAATTTACAAATTAACCAAAGACCAAAAAATTGACAAGGACAGTTAAGCACCTTTTATGGAGACAAATACTGTATTAAAAAAAAAAGCCTTTTTGTTTTTCAATTGAAATTATAGCAAGTTTACTTAAAAGATTATAATTTGAGTAAATTTCTCGTCTGTACTAGCCAACTTTCACAGAATTAAAGTTGTTTACTTTGAAAATTTAGATCATGGATGATGGTTAATTACGTTTGTTCGGTAATCAGATATACCGCATGTTGCTATTCACAACATGAAGGAAAATGCCCGAGACAGCCCAAAAATGTAGGTGGTGCTCCTGTCATTGGAGCAAACACATTAACACAGTTTAGTACACAAATATGGCGACACGAAACATAATCGGAAATACATTTTATGATATCTAAACAATTAGATACGAAGCAAAAAATATTGTGCGTCAAACTGGCGCTGACATTAATCACTCTATGCGCCATTTCTGGTCAAAATGCGCAATTTGCGCATGTCACTAGACCTTCCCGATCACTGGGTATGTTCATCAAAATGAATATGATCCTGACACTGAATAAAGATGTAGGTTTTATTGGCCTTAAATACTTGCTTCCAGGTACTGAAAAAGAAGCTGCATATATAAATTAAAAAATGAATATATCAATATGGCATATTTTTGCCAGGTAAGCTAATTCAGGTTTCTAGGAGCCTCTAGTTGTTAATTAATGTGAGTGGGTTGAAAAGACATTGATTTACATGTAGCTACATCATTATATTATTGTATTCATGATACTAATATACTAAATGTAAACATGTCATGTAAATGTATACCTGTCAAAGGTCAGGAATTTGGTCAGTGGTTGCTGCTGTCTCTTTAATGTTGCAATTTGAATGTTTTAAGGAGAATCAACACTCACATGTACATGTATAGAAAAAACAAAGAATTATTTGAATCTTGGTAAGAAAACTATGATGAAAACTGACCCAACTAAATACATGTAAGGTTAGCCATGCTAAGGTTAATTTTACTTTCACTGATATTGCAGTATTAACTAACCCCCCTCTTATCCATGCATGCATGGCTGGCTAACTCTATTTGGTTGGGTTAGTTTTCATCATACATTTATCAATTTTCCAGAATTAAAAATTATTCCAGATTCAAATAATTCCTTGTTGAAACATGAATAAAAAAAAGATAAGGATTGATACTTTGTACTGCCAGTTCAAAAATATATGCATATGATATTAATGGAAGTAGACAAAAAAAAACATTTCAATCTTTTATTAATGGATTATTATTTTTTCAGATGGCGTCAAGAAAAAAGGTTTTGCTTAAAGTTATTATATTAGGGGACAGTGGGTAAGTTAAATTAAGACTTTAAGCAATATTTTAATGCAAATAAATAATTTTGTATGTAGTCTCAACTTTTCTAAAAGACGAAGAGTCTTTTTTTGTTGCAGAAGCGAGACATAGTGATCTCACATTCTGTCCTGGGAGTTTGTGTCATTAACATATATTTGTGTTCAGTAAGAGGTTCAAGTTTTTTTAAGAGGTCAATAACTTTGTCAAACTTTGATGGAACTTTACTAAACTTTCAAAAGTTTGACAGAAGATTAATCTACATGTATATGATCAAAAACCAGTATGAAATCAGAAGAGCAAAGTTTTTTGCAATAGCATTGAAAAATATTTTTTTTAAAACATTATTTAACTTTGTCAAATCATCATGGAATGTTATGAAACTTCTTTGTGATCAAGAAATAGCATCTGAACCAGCCTTTTCATGGCAACTTCTACATGTTTTATCCTATTGACAAGGAAACTTTAGTACATTGTTATACGACCGCAAAAAAATTTTTGTGGTCGTATATTGGTATGACGTTGGCGGCGTCGTCGTCGTCGTCGTCGTCCGGCGTCGTCGTCCGAATACACATTAGTTTTCGCACTCTAACTTTAGTTTAAGTGAATGGATCTCAATGAAATTTTACCATAAGGTTCAATACCACAAAAGGAAGGTGGGGATTGATTTTGGGGGTTATGGTACTAACAGTTAAGGAATTAGGGGCCAAAAGGGGCCAAAAATAAGCATTTTTGTAACTTCCAGACATAACTTGTGTGTAAGTGTATGGATCTCTCTGACATTGTACCACAAGGTTCCATATCACAAAGGGAATGCTGGGATTGATTTTGGGGGTAATTGCCTCCAAATTTTAGGAATTGGGGGCCAAAAAGGGGCAAAAAACAAGCATTTTTTTAGTTTCATGACAATATCTTGTTTGTAAGTGTATGGATCTTTATGAAATTGTACTACAAGGTTCCATATCACAAAGGGAATACTGGGATTGATTTTTGGGGTAATTTCCTCCAAATTTTAGGAATTAGGGGCAAAAAAGGGGCAAAAAAAAAGCATTTTTCTAGTTTCATGACAATAACTTGTTTGTAAGTGTATGGATCTTTATGAAATTGTACTACAAGGTTCCATATCACAAAGGGAAGGCTGGGATTGATTTTGGGGGTTTTCCCTCAAAATTTTAGTAATTAGGGGCCATAAAAGGGCAAAAAAAACATGCATTTTTCTAGTTTCAGGACAATAACTTGTGTGTAAGTGTATGGATCTTTATGAAATTGTACTGCAAGGTTCCATATCACAAAGGGAAAGCTGGAATTGAGTTTGGGGGTAATTGCCCTAAACGTTTAGGAATTTGGGGTCAAAAAGGGGCCAAAAAACAAGCATTTTTCTAGTTTCCAGACAATAACTTGTGTTCAAGTGTATGAATCTCTCTGAAATTGTACTGCAAGGTACCATACCACAAAGGGAAAGCTGGGATTGAGTTTGGGGGTGATGAATCATAAGGGGGTTCAAAAAATTGGGGGGGGATTTTTTTTTCTTTAACATTTTCCATTTTAAATTGGTTATTTCTGATTTATATATAAAAGCAAATAATAATGATATGGTTTGAATAGGCATACATGTGAACCTCCCGACGGGAGTACAATAATCCCGTTTTCAGGGGTCTCCTCCCGACCTCCCGTTGAAGAGGAAAAAATCCCGTGTATGAAATTTTTCATGAATGAAAAATTTCTGCCCAACATATCATCTCAGGCATCTGGTGTAACTGACATTACCTGAAGTTATATTTTACCTGTAAATCAATTAACATGCATAATTATATGGCTTCACTTGTCAGCTTGGGTGTCAAACATACAGGTAATCAACGATTTTTACCTCAGGCTAACTGCCGTTGTGTAACAAAAACTGTGTATTTATTGGGTTACTTCCCTTGATTTATCCTGTTTTAAGTTACTTTCCTTTTAATAATGAAAATTTTTAAAAGAATATAAATAAAATATAAATTGAACAAATAATCATAAAAGGATGGTTATTAAATGATTTTAAATGTCTTAGGACATATAAAAAAATAATAATTTGAAAATTATTTGAGGATTCTAGACTTCCTTTCAAGGCTTAAATTGAAATTTATATAATAACTATGACCCTAATTTTACAGATAAAATTATTTTTTGAGTTTGCAAATAAAAACTATTTGCAAGAGAAAAAATAAAAAATAAAAACTATTTGCAGATAGCTAAACAAATGTTCTGGTTGCAATGATTGTTTTATAGAATATGAAGTAAAAAATTTAAAGAACATACTGGAAAAATACAATGTTAGATTGAACATGTAGAATATAAAGATGGAGAAACTTTATAAGTACAAGGGTACTATAAACATAATAAATTGGATGGAAAGTTGAAGAAAACACACTTTAAAAGACCATTTTTACAGCACACGGTTACATTTACAACAAAATTAATGTCGATTAAAAACCTCCTGATCTGAGTCCTAATCTCCTGACCAAAATTTCCCAATCTCCTGATCTGAGTTTCACAGTCCATCACATGTATGAATAGGTAAATTGAAAATTTTTAAGTTCTTAGACCACTTTCATTCTGTGTCAGAAACCTATGCTGTGTCAAATATTTAATTACAATCCAAATTCAGTGCTGTATCAAGCTTGAATGTTGTGTCCATACTTGCCCCAACTGTTCAGGGTTCGACCTCTGCGGTCGTATCAAGCTGCGCCCCAGCGGAGCATTTTATTAGATCCTAACATAGCAGATGTACATGTGGGAAGGATGTTCTGGTCTGGCAAATATTTTGGGGCGGCATGCCCCTTTCAACTTCCAAAGTTGTTAAAACTAACCTTGTTATGAAGAAATCTATTTCTTTCATAGAAAAACAGCCATTCAGGCTACAAATGATTCTTAAAGGGGTACATGTGTCCGAGACAAAATCAAATGAACCATTAGAAAATAGTCTAAATTTGATGTTAACATCGTTGATATGCTGTATTTCATCCACTAGCACATTCTTACGTCATTCCTTGATACAGAGGGTATCTGTACTGCTTAGTGAAAGTTCTAGTTTAACACTGACCGCAGCAGTCGCAGGCAAGACACAGCAATATTTTAAAGTCACAAATGAACAGATGTGACATATATGTAAAAGATAAGCAGAATATACATTGTACAAAAGGGTTATTCAAACTCATAAGTTGAAGCCCATGGCAAAAAATGGAAAACAATTAACAGACAAGTCTACAAAACACAACATAGAAAACTAATAACTGAGAAACATGAACTGATATCAGGTGCTCCAGAGGGGTTAGCAGATTCTTCTCCACATATGTCACCTGTTGTGTTGCTCATGTATGTATAAATTTCGGTACCACTCTTATTAGGTGATGTCAAATTCAAGGAAAAGAGGATGTGGTTGTGGTTACGACAATTGAAACATATCCGTTGTCATTTATAAATGGTGTTTGCTCTCAAAGTACACATAGATGATACATACATGTACATTTGTATATTTGATTAAAGTTAGCTGTAAGCAAATGCTATTATTTATGCATACTTATATACAATACATATATTTTTTCTATTTGTATATGTGTAAATAATCATGTAACTTTTGTTTATCCTACAATACAAACAGGATCATCAATCACATTTTCATGAAATAAGCATTTCAATATTGAAGAGACCTGTGCAATGATTTATGTAAATTTGTAAGAGGAAGCACCCCCAACCAATAAATGTTAATTCTGACCTACATTTTAATTTTCTTGCCTTATTGAAATAATTACTGGTATATGTACATGTTGGTCCTAAAAGTTTAATGTCAATTTTTTTTTTAGCTCTATAGTAAATGACCTACAATCATGATCAAAACTACATTTGTAGCTGTAAAATACATGTGACATCTACAAAGCAAAACAATCTGTTTAAAATTAAATGTAGGCAACCATAATCTGTTTTTTATTGATATCTGAACTTGATAGAATTTTATAATCAGACTTCCTTTTTTACGTACATCATAAATAATTTGAATGTGTTTATTGGTTGATGTTTGCTAAAATCCATTAGATGTACTTGTAATTGTTATGATTATGGAATTACATATGTTACATTGAATTTTATATACATCCACATCAGTTTAAATGACTATAAAACTGTGAAAATTAGGCGAATTTTGTTATCATGAACTTCATTGTCTTTTGCTGCTTTAACTACATTCATGACAGTCATTGACAATCATCATTATGATGTCATATCTATAAAGTGAAAAGGATTGTTGCATCTAAACCATGACCCTTTAAGTTTCACTATTACAAACAAAATAATAGATTTGGTAACTAAAAGTTTTCATTATGATAGATTATTATCAAAACTTGATCAATTACAATGTCTGATGAGTGATGAATGATCAGTTAAATGGATACTTTAATTTCATGTCCCACCTATAATAGAGAGGGTATTAAGTTTTTCAGTCTGTGCATCCATCTGATCGCCTGTATGTTCATTCGTTCTGTTCTGGTTCAAGTTTTGGTTTCAGATAGCTTGCTATGAACTTGTGGTCACATCAATATTAATTTACAGTTCACTGAACAAAGAAAAGTAATAGTGCAAGCAGGGCATGATGTCCTACATGTATATGAAAACACATTTTTATTTGGTCATAATTTTAAATGTGCCTATATAAAATGTTATACTTTCAGTTATTGCTAGTTTTGTATACACATAGCACAATGTTTTGAATCTTTGTTTATTGAACACCTACATTTGTGTTCATGTTCAATTCTTAAAATTATTTTTCTTTTTAAGTTAAAAATAAAATGACAGGTAATTTCTTATGTATAAAGAATAGTACATATATTGTCACCACTCACTTAGTAGAATTGTAGGTGTTATAAGATATCCATCAAACAATAATTACTAAGCTACACCTATATCATTGTACCTGTTTGACATGTGATTTGCATGGTTAAATTTTATAATGTAAATGTATATTTCATACTTAATATGCTTTAATTACAAATGTACATGTTTAGGTCATTACCCTTTAAGAAAAACTGTCAAAAAAAGATGTTATCCTACATCAAAATATCAATTTAGGGTAATTATTTTTCTGTACTTTTTCATTATTTCAGAGTCTATGAAAATACACTACTTATCAAATGTTTTTCAACCTTCTTCTATATGTTTTTGTACTGCTGATTTAATTTTTATTGCATGAATGGATGAGCAGTTTACAGGGTGACACCTTTTTGCATTGATGCAGATTTACAATTTTCCTGTCAGTCATGTTCTAAGCTACATCTGAGTTGAGTTCAGTCTGTATTTAAATTTAAATTTTTATCCTGAGTCATTGTCAGCAACTTACATGTAGCCTCCACAGACAAAAAAACTAAAAGGTGTCCAGATGAACTTTCATGTTCAGTTACTGAGCTCTCTAACACTAAAAACTTTTAAGTAGGCAGATGAAAGTTAAGGGCCAGTGACTGAATGTGGGAACTGCCATTATACATCCTTGTTTTAGTAAAGTGATAATCAATTTTAAACATACATGTGATATAAGTATGTGTGTCACTAAATGTAATTATATGTCCTCCACTTTATCCTAAAGTGAGGTCAAATTCTTGAAGCAATCATTTTTCATTAACCATGTATATCATGGTGTAAATTAGATATATACATGACTTAATATACATATGTATAAAGGTGTAAAGGAATAAAACGTGTCAATAAATGTGTTATCAGGTCTGCAATGTAAATAGATAAAGGTCATAATACATGTACATGTGGTATGTGAACTGATAAATAATGCTGCACCTCTGATGTGGCAATCATATGTTATGTATATCTTGTGTATAGATAGATCTGTGTTGTAACTAGTTTTAAAATATATTTTAAATATTGTCTAAATAACAACCTGGTCAGTTAATTTTGAATTCAATAAACAGTTGATAAAATAATTGGAAGGTATACATATTGATTTTGGTGTTTTTATGCCCCCATCATAACTTATTACCACAAAATACAGATCAAGTTTGAATTTTGGTGGTGTCACTTTAACCGTTCTAGAGTAATGCCCCTTTTCAAAAGGAAAAATTGCTGAATTTTTTGTTTCCGTTCTCTAACCTAAGTTTGCCTCAACTGAATGTTATAAAAATTATACACAATGCTTATTACTACAAAATACAGATCAAGTTTGATTTTTGGTGGTGTCACTTTTACTGTTCTAGAGTTGTGCCCCTTTACAAAAGGAAAAATTGCTGAATTTTTTGTTTCCGTTATCAACTTAAGTTTGCCTCAACTAAATGTTATGAAACTTATACACAATATTTATTACTACAAAACTCAGACCAATAACAAATTTGGGTAGCGTCACTTTTACCGTTCTTCAGTTATGTCCCTTTATAACTTTTTATGATATGCAAGCAGGGGCATCATCTGTGTCCCATGGACACATTCCCCATTTTCTTGATCAAAAACATAGTTGTTGCAAGGTTATTGAAGCTGGCTTTGTTAGTGTAAGGTCTGATTATACTTGATAAAGTAGGGTCAAAACATTATGATGTTGCTGATATAGTACTGGATCAAAGTTGATATCATAAGGCATAATCATTCTTAAACAATGCCTCAAAGTTACAGACAAGATTTTTGGAAAAGAATTTTGAGGGTAACAGATATAGGGAAATATTGTAAATTTTTCAAAACTTTACTAACAGGCTCAGTGGTTTTGGGGTTAGGTCAATCAAAGGACTTGAAAATTTGTATTTGCTGCTTCTCTTCCACTAATCACGGATCATTTAGGAGTAAGAGCAAAGATGGTTCAGTTTGGAGTCAAAATAATGTGCCATTTGAAGGTTGACATGTCTCCGCGTGGACTGTTACCTTGTGAATTAGCATGTTAAAAATACAACTAGGCATGTCCTTCTAGTATAAAGAGGGTTAAAGGCTATTGTTTGGTCATAGACAAGAGCATGTACTGTACATACTGTTTTTAGGACAAATATAGAGATCTGTGTAACATGTCACATTGTTTAAAACTAAAACATTGTATCTTTTTTCAGTGTTGGAAAAACATCGTTAATGAATCAGTATGTGAATAAAAAGTTCAGTAACCAGTACAAAGCCACAATCGGGGCAGACTTCCTCACAAAAGAGGTTATGGTAGATGACAGATTAGTTACAATGCAGGTATGTGTGTAGTAGCACTAACTTGAAATGCAATTCAAACTTTATTTTACTATGCTTGAAGTATTGGTACATGTCTATGAAGACAAGGAAACATGGGGAGATAATTTGTTAATTTACATAGGATGGTTACCTAAAAAGATCAGAATGTAATGGTTACTTCAATCTCAATAAAGGTTTGGTTGCAATGATATACATTTTATGGCTTAGTGTTCATATTTCTTTCTGTCAAAACATATTACTGGTATGTGATCTTCCATAGTTTTATGAATATCAGAGTCTAACATATTACATGTTAAAGTACACTTATTCCTCTACAGCTGACACCACAGTGTAGAATGTTGTCAGCAGTGATATCTTTTGAGAACTGAATTACATCAGTATAAAGACTGTTTTCAGTAGGTTTCAATTAATATAATTATCGATTAGCAGGTTTTCTGCACATTGATGTTGTACAATATAAGCTGTGAGACACACAGTGAACCTTTTTGGTGAGTGAGAGCATGGAATGAGCAAAGAAGCTTCACAATGTGTTGAAGGGGCTGCTACTCTACTGTATCTCTCTGCAAAAAATCAGATTATTTGTTTATTATGTTTTTTTCTGGTGTTTGCCCCCACTCTTAAGACCAGGGTTTCCCCTGGGTCGATTTTCTTCTTCGCCACCTCTTTCGCCTAAACAATATATTTTTCGCCACTTTCAATTTTTTTCGCCAACTAACATAAACATATTTTTTGTTAAAAATTTCCTTGCTTTCTAACAAATAAAAAATCAGTTTGTCACATTGTTGTCGATTATAATTCTTAATATTTATTTTTTAATCTACATTGTAATGAATAAATACTCAATAATAACAAACATTTAATTTTTAAAAGATACTGTAAAATTGCAATATAGATCATGAAATCATCATTTCTGACTTTTGCTGGGAACATGGGATTCATCTACAATAGTTTATTGGATGCTTCCTGTCTACTTGAAGGATATTGACTAAAGTTAGAGATTTTTCTAACTTTTGAATATTTTCCTTCTTAACAATAGTTTTCTTTTCCAGACCATCGTTAAAAAAAGTTTGGTTGTTAAACTATATATGCCTCAAACATGTGCGTCGCTTAAACGATTGTTATAAAATTCAATCAGGTGATTATTGATTTACCTTCAAAATCGTAACGAGTTCAAGGTGAATTCCCAGTATTGTCTGATCAGGGAAAAAGTCTGAGAAACTCGAAAAAAGTAAACAAGAAAAAAGAAGTCGAACTGTTATATTTCTTTCGCCAATTATGAATTTTAATCGCCACAATTTTTGTTTTTTCGTAAAATGCCACAAAACCCTGCTTAAGACAGTTTTACGTTTAAAAAAAGTAAAATTGTTAAAGTTTCTTCACACATTGCTGATAAGCTGCTCACAGCTCAAAGAAAGCAGTGATTCAAAAATTTTGAAGCGACTGAGCAGGATGATATAGGTGAAGGGAAGGATGATAATGGTTATTAAATATGCTATTTTCCATTTGTTTCAGATATGGGACACAGCTGGACAAGAAAGATTTCAGAGTTTAGGTGTAGCTTTTTATCGAGGAGCTGATTGCTGTGTGCTAGTGTTTGATGTTACTGTGCCAAATACATTTAAACAGTTGGACAGTTGGCGTGATGAATTTTTGATACAAGCTAGTCCGAGAGACCCAGAAAATTTTCCCTTTGTGGTTATAGGAAATAAAATTGATTTAGAAAATAGAGCAGTGAGTACAATGTATTATGAATATGGAATATATATTTTAGAATTAATTAGTAGAATGGCATATATGGTCTGCCATTTTTGTTGTTGATTGAAACCAAGTTGTTATATGTGAAAAGAAGTCTTAAATACACAAGGTCTCGTAAGTTTGCAACATTTTGTAATATTTTAAGGCTGATATTAACACATTTGATTACCTATTCAATTAACTATCAACATAAAATTCAATGCTTTTCTCCTCTTAGTGCTATCACCTATTCAAAAAACTATTTACATAAAATTGTCGGAGATTTTTTAAATATATCTTGCATGAATTGATTGATAATAACTTGTAGTTTATTGAATTTGGAAATGCTCAGTTACCATTGATACTGTCTTTAGTAGGAAACATTTAAATGTATTTAATTGGATGCACACAACAATCCAAACTTAGCAATTGTTTTTTAGTCCCCTACCAACAAAGTCGAAGGGGACTTTAGGTTTGCACTCTGTCCGTCTGTCTGTCCGTCCGTCTGTCCATCTGTCAGTCTGGCAAATCAGCTTTCCACACTTTTTTTCTTCGTTCTTAAAGATATTGATTTGATATTTGGTATAAAGTTTTGCCATGACAAGTAATAGATCAAGTTCGAATTTTGTTCCGGTCTGATGATTTAGTCCAGAGTTATGGACCATAACTCTGGACCATATCTAATGTTGGAGTACTATGTTAAACCATATTTCTGTACGAAGGGAGATAACTCATTTTTTAAAAGACATTTTTTGGTAAATTATTTGAAGAATTTTTTGGCAGGTTGTTTGTTATTTTGTATAAGCTAATTTTTGAATGCTATATATAAATATAAAAAAATTATGAAGTGAAATCCTTTAATTAGGATAATAATCTTATTTTATTAATGTGTATATTACATTCTATTGTGTAGATTAAAATTGTTGACATTTTATAGATAAGTTACAAATCTATATTAGTTTGTGACAAATAAAAGAAAAAATATTTGGAACTATTAATTATATTTGATTATAATTGGAAAATAGATATACACTGTATTACATCATATCTATTTTTAGAGAATTATTAATCATATCTAATGTTAAAGTGTTTTCCACACTTTTTTTCATCATGCTTGAAGATATTGATTGATAATTGATATATAGTTTTATCATGACAAGTTATACAGATCAAGTTCGAAATTTTGTTTCGGTCTGATAATTTTGTGCAGAGTTATGGTCCTTGGACTTGAAAATTCACTCATTTAATCAGTTTTCCATGCTGTTTTTAGCCACGCTTGAAGATATTGACTTGATATTTTCTTTTTGTTTACACCATGACAAGTTATAGAACAAGTTAGCTTTTTGTTCCAGTATAATCATATAACGAATTTTTACCCGGTAGGGGACTATGTATTGCCATGCAATACTCTCAGAATGCTTGTTGTATTTATTTTTGTGAACTGATATAGACCAATGATTTAATTTTTTTTCTGCTGGAAGCAACGAAGATATTAGTTAGACCATATCCCTTTAAAGTAGATTTTATGTATGGTACTATTTTTAAAGATTACTTGATTTAAATTCTACCTTTTATTTGTCACTACAAGTACTATTACAGAGTAGTTTATTTACATTGTTGAATATTATTACAGAGTAGTTTATTTACATATGCATTGTTAAATAGATATATATGTTACCCTAAAACTTGTTTGTTTATGCAAAATATTTTATAAAGAGGGAAGTTTACTTGTGAAATTTTTCTTGAAATTAACAAAAGCTTTATAAATCAATGCATTTTCATTGTTGGAACTAATTTCCTGCATTATTCAATTTTACTGTTGATAATACAAATTTAACAATCTATTCTGCCTTATATCAATTACAGGTATAAATATGATGGTCATTTGAAGGGAACTTACTAAATAATTGTGTAAAATTTTTTTTAATTCAGAAATTCCCCATTAACCAATTCATTGTACTTTATGTTCAGTTTTAATAGGGCTAATATAAATAAAAATTTACTGAGTACATCCATTGCCAGAAAATCCTTTCCAAAGTGAATTTTTATGTAAAAGTCAGTTTGTTAAAACTTGTAAACTAATAAGACTTTTTATGCCCCCGCCGCTAGGCAAAGAGGGCATTAAAATTTACCCTTGTTCATCTGCACATCCCAAAATTGGTTTCCGTTCTCTTACTTTAGTTTGCCTCAACCAAATGGTATGAAACTTAATATACACAATGCTTATTACCATAAAACACAGATCAAGTACGAATTTGGGTGGTGTCACTTTTACAGTTCTCTAGTTGTGTCCCTTTATAACATTATATGCAAGTGTGGGCATTTTCTGTGTCCCATGGACACATTCTCCATTTATTTATTTTAAACATAATGCCAGCCAAACTCTATTGAAAAAGTTGAGAAGTATTTATGTCAACTCAGAAATATATTCGTGCATTTATTGCGACTTTCGAAAAATGGACAAAAAAGCAAGTTTAATTATTGCGATTTAATAAAAATCTGAATACAGATATATGTATCAGTTATCAGAATGCGAGTTCTTATTAATTGAGATACTCATCCAGTCCCATTATTGGCATTGAATAAAACCTCACAATAATTTCTGAATTTACAGTATTCTTAAAATAGACTTCTTACCATCACTCTTCTTTTGAACAAATAAGTTCTTCATGTGTTGCTGTATTTATAAGGAAATAACTTGTGGTCATTCAGGCATTCTGCACTTAAGCAAAATGGGGACTATTCATTCATACATATATATATACCTTTTTCTCAAATAAAAATTGAATGCTATTCAACCATTATGATAAAAACATGGAGATTTAGCATGATTGCCAATGAGACAACTATCCACCAGAGACCAAATGGTGTGGATGTAAGCAACTAAAGGTAACCGTATGACTTTCAACAACAAGCAAATCTCATACAGTATAGTAAGCCATAAAAGGCACTAACATAACAAAATGTGAAACAACTCAATCGAGAAAACAAATGGCCTGATTTATGGCAAAACAAAAAATGAAAACCCTGTACAGTATGTCTATTGACATGTCAATAGATCCTTCACACTTATCCTGAAAAGTAACTGAAAATGTTCTAATACTGGTCTTTTCTCTTTAGGTTACAGCCAAAAGAGCACAGGGTTGGTGTCAGAGTAAAGGAGATATACCATACTTTGAAACCAGTGCAAAAGAAGCCATCAATGTAGAACAAGCTTTCCAGACTGTAGCCAAGAATGCATTAGCGCAAGAAACAGAAGTAGAACTTTATAATGAATTTCCCGATCAAATTAAAATCACAAATGACAGTGGTAAGCCCAAAGAGGGTTGTGGATGTTAATATCTATTAGGATAATTTTTATTTCTGAAAAATAACTCATTGAATTATGTGTACAGCTTGAAGAACATAAACGCAAGCATAGAATGTGATATATAAAACTTTATTAAAACAGGGTCAAATGCACCCAGGTCATAGGAAGATAACAAAAACATTGTCCTGCGATGGCAGTAGTAAAAATATTTGATTCATGTGATATTTAAGAACATTTTATACCTAGTATGACCAAGACTTCTATTCCTATAGTCTAATTTAATTTTCAAAGAGTTAAAAAAGGAAAAAAATAGTTCTGCTTTAATATGTCAAATTCTGCGAGGTAATGCAATCATTGCAGTTCTCATATTGATGATTAAAGCTTAACAAATATAAAATAATGATTATGATGTTTGGGGTTTAGTTGATTTTATATTGCAATCCTTTGTCTTCATTGTAATATTTCATCATCACATGTAGCACCCCTCCCCAAAAATTTGACAATGCTAGATATAACAGATTGCCCCTGTGTAACTCATGACAGTTTTAAGAACAAAAAGAGCAAAACATTCGTATGAACTTCTTGAATCAGACAGTAGAATGATCCTGATTGGTATAAATGGGTAATCCATTATTAAATGCTGATATGGAGAAATGCTTAATTCAAATCATCCAATAGTATCTTAACTAAATAATATATTCTCTTCATATATATCATATCAGATATGAATTTGTACAATGCCTGCTTTTGTTGATCCATCATGGCACAAAAATGCTTTGAAGATGATAAAGATATTTTACAGAGGAAAATATTTCATTCAGTTTTGAAGTAAAATATACTTGATACTGACCTCATTGTCCATACTATTAATAGAACAGGGGGAACTAATGGGGACTTTTGTTCTTCGTGTTTATAAGGGATGTTATCAAATTTTGGGCATGATTTGAAATGAATCCCTAAGTTTTAAAAAAATGAGTGTATGGCTGCATGTTTGTTAAGGAATAGTAAGCAATGTCGATCTTGTGCAAATTTCTTCCTGGTCAATTCTCTATAGATATAGTTCTGTATACAATTCAAAATTTGAATGTACATATTTGATTTTTAATATTATTATGACAGATATAGAATATAAATTGTCTCTACCATGCCTATAGTGAATTGTATTTGTAATAATTATTATTTTATTAATTAATGTCAGTAATCTTTTGAACACAATTGATGATATTTTGTGTATAGAAAATATTTATGTATGCTATAGTTTCATTATTCCTTGGAATTTACATTATTTAAAATGTTTGAAGGATTGTACTACCTAAACATACATGGTTCATGGATTCCATTCATCAAATGGGCCATTCTTCTGTAGAAGCTATGCTTACATTTGGAAAGCTTTTTTTCGGGCCATCCCTGGGTTTAGATTGTGGTTAATTGTAATAACCCTTAAAACAAAAGCTCTTATCGTTGTTTATCTTTTTCCAGGATCAATTTAAGTATATTCAAATGATGCCTAGGTCTTATTATTCTCCTCCTTACAAGTTTGGGATACAGTTATATATAAAATGCTTCTAGTGGCAATAATTGTACATTTAGTTATTGTTATAAAAATTTTCTTTATATTAATATACAGTCAAGGAAAGGGATATTGTTTCATTGGAATGATGACTTCTTAGAAACTGAACATTTTCAAAATTTCTTTCTGGCAGTCCTAAATATAGCAAAGTGTTCTTGTTTATATTGGAACATTAGTCCGGTTTAAGTTGAAAAGACCTTTAGAATAAATGTCATTTGACAATGTTTAGACTATGTAATCAAAGTACTTGCCCTAAATAATATTAGTCCTATACCACGGACTATAAATATATATTGTGCTTGATTTTGTAATGCAAATTAAATTAAAATAATCTTCTACACTGTATATAATTTGTTTCTGTCTAAGGCAGATAATTATTGGACAGGCAGTTGGTTTAACATTATTATGATCATTCAGAACAGCTGATAATGGTTCAGACGAACATTTTCAAATTGGTGTTTTTTAAGTTTTCCACCAATTTATAGGACCTTTCAGGTGGAAAGCATATATAAGGTGACACAATATTGAAAACTATTTTAATTATAAATGACATACATTGTATTTTGATTATAGTAATTGATGGGCATTTTTCAACACACTTCATTATTCAGTTTGTAGCTTTATGCTTTGAATAATATTTGTTTAGTTTCAAGAAATTTATCCATTCAATTTTAATTTAGAATTGGCAAGCAATATAAGTGCATCAAACTAAGTGCTTTTTACATATTTCAGGTCTTTAGTTTCATGTTAAGTGTTGTGAAATGTGTCTGTGTAATTTCCCGTTCTAATTTTCATGAAGCATGGTATTTTTTTCTGGGACCAGACTTCAGTTTGCTTTATTGGAAAGGAAATTTAGAATTTACACTGTAAAATTGATAACATCAGTCACACTTGAGCAGTGACATGAATCATAGAAAGTAAGAAATAAAATTATGTGGTAATAAATGTATTTGATTATATAATCTGAAATCATTTGAATATCAGATGGGAAAATATCTATCTTTTGGAAATAGATAAAACTATTTAAGAAAAAAAATTTTATTGAGATATTTCCTGTTGTATATATACAGTTTTTATCGGTTTTGATTATTAAAAAAATCAGTAAAAATAATTTATAAATTCAGTTATTTTCATATTTCATGATAATTTCTTGAATAACAGTTTTACCACCAACAGTAAAATTAAGTCAAGTCATGCAAAAATATAGCCTCATTGTCAGGAAAGATGCCAACATATACATATTTATTTACTATGTGTAACTTTTATGTTGAAACTTAATTTATCAACACCAGTAATTTCTTCTAAAAGGAATGCTACTGTATCTGTCATATTTAAGGTGATAATTATGAATAAAAATCAAGAACTCATCCTCGTTGTTTTATTTTCATGATTTTGCCATCAGAATATGAATAGTAAATGGTTGAACATGAGATCGACCTCAAGGTGAGGTCAACACGATTGCCAGCACCTTGTTAAGGCATATTTCATTGTCTTTTTAAATTGCTGTTTTACAAATGTTATATGTTATCACAATGGTAGTAACATAAGTACAAAGATAATATTCTAGACATTAAATTTTCTTAGAGATCAGACTGGAAAGACTTTATGGACCACGAATTGCAACATTGAAATCCCTGCTGTCAACACAGTTCAGGTGGGGGGCAGTTTAAAAAAGTAAGGAGGGCCATATGGGCTACAAAGGAATGGATGTTGCAATTATGAGTACAGAGGTAATCAAGGGCAAATAAGTTGAACAAAAGTGCACATGCCGAATATGCTGCCTGATTTACTTATCATGATTGGATATATAAAAGTTTTTTTATGCCTCCGCCATAGTGGAGGGGGCCATTAAGTTTTACCCTTGTCCGTCTGTACATCCGTACGCTGAAATTGGTTTCCGTTCTTTAACTTTAGTTTGCCTCAACCAAATGTTATGAAACTTACACACAATGCATATTACCACAAAACACAGATCAAGTTTGAATTTGGGTGGCGTCACTTTTATCTTTCTAGAGTAATGCCCCTTTACAAATGGAAAAATTACTGAATTTTTCAATTCCGTTCTCTAACTTAAGTTTACCTCAACCAAATGTTATGAAACTGATACACCATGCTCATTACCACAAAACACAGATCAAGTTTGAATTTGGGTGGCGTCACTTTTATCTTTCTAGAGTTGTGCCCCTTTACAAATGGAAAAATTGCAGAATTTTTCATTTTTATACGACCGCAAAAAAATTTTTGTGGTCGTATATTGGTATGACGTTGGCGTCGTCGTCGTCGTCGTCGTCGTCCGGCGTCGTCGTCCGGCGTCGTCGTCCGAATACACATTAGTTTTCGCACTCTAACTTTAGTTTAAGTGAATGGATCTCATTGAAATTTTACCATAAGGTTCAATACCACAAAAGGAAGGTGGGGATTGATTTTGGGGGTTATGGTACTAACAGTTAAGGAATTAGGGGCCAAAAGGGGCCAAAAATAAGCATTTTTGTAACTTCCAGACATAACTTGTGTGTAAGTGTATGGATCTCTCTGACATTGTACCACAAGGTTCCATATCACAAAGGGAATGCTGGGATTGATTTTGGGGGTAATTGTCTCCAAATTTTAGGAATTAGGGGCCAAAAAGGGGCAAAAAACAAGCATTTTTCTAGTTTCATGACAATAACTTGTTTGTAAGTGTATGGATCTTTATGAAATTGTACTACAAGGTTCCATATCACAAAGGGAATACTGGGATTGATTTTTGTGGTAATTTCCTCCAAATATTAGGAATTAGGGGCCAAAAAGGGGCAAAAAACAAGCATTTTTCTAGTTTCATGACAATAACTTGTTTGTAAGTGTATGGATCTTTATGAAATTGTACTACAAGGTTCCATATCACAAAGGGAAGGCTGGGATTGATTTTGGGGGTTTTCCCTCAAAATTTTAGTAATTAGGGGCCATAAAAGGGCAAAAAAAACATGCATTTTTCTAGTTTCAGGACAATAACTTGTGTGTAAGTGTATGGATCTTTATGAAATTGTACTGCAAGGTTCCATATCACAAAGGGAAAGCTGGAATTGAGTTTGGGGGTAATTGCCCTAAACGTTTAGGAATTTGGGGCCAAAAAGGGGCCAAAAAACAAGCATTTTTCTAGTTTCCAGACAATAACTTGTGTTCAAGTGTATGAATCTCTCTGAAATTGTACTGCAAGGTACCATACCACAAAGGGAAAGCTGGGATTGAGTTTGGGGGCGATGAATCATAAGGGGGTTCAAAAAATTGGGGGGGGGGATTTTTTTTTTCCTTTTTTTTCTTTAACATTTTCCATTTTAAATTGGTTATTTCTGATTTATATATAAAAGCAAATAATAATGATATGGTTTGAATAGGCATACATGTGAACCTCCCGACGGGAGTACAATAATCCCGTTTTCAGGGGTCTCCTCTCCCCCTCCCGTTGAAAAAATCCCGTGTATGAAATTTTTCATGAAGGAAAAATTTCTGCCCAACATAACATCTCAGGCATCTGGTGTAACTGACATTACCTGAAGTTATATTTTACCTGTAAATCAATTAACATGCATAATTATATGGCTTCACTTGTCAGCTTGGGTGTCAAACATACTGGTAAGCAACGATTTTTACCTCAGGCTAACTGCCGTTGTGTAACAAAAACTGTGTATTTATTGGGTTACTTCCCTTGATTTATCCTGTTTTAAGTTACTTTCCTTTTAATAATGAAAATTTTTAAAAGAATATAAATAAAATATAAATTGAACAAATAATCATAAAAGGATGGTTATTAAATGATTTTAAATGTCTTAGGACAAATAAAAAAATAATAATTTGAAAATTATTTGAGGATTCTATACTTCCTTTTAAGGCTTAAATTGAAATTTATATAATAACTATGACCCTAACTTGTCAGATAGAATGAATTTCTGAGTTTGCAAATAAAAACTATTTGCAAGAGAAAAAAAAAAAAAATAAAAAACTATTTGCAGACAGCTAAACAAATGTTCTGGTTGCAATGATTTTTTTTATAGAATATGAAGTAAAAAATTTAAAGAACATACTGGAAAAAAACAATGTTAGATTGAACATGTAGAATATAAAGATGGAGAAACTTTATAAGTACAAGGGTACTATAAACATAATAAATTGGTTGGAAAGTTGAAGAAAACACATTTTAAAAGACCATTTTTACAGCACACGGTTACATTTACAACAAAATTAATGTCGATTAAAAACCTCCTGATCTGAGTCCTAATCTCCTGACCAAAATTTCCCAATCTCCTGATCTGAGTTTCACAGTCCATCACATGTATGAATAGGTAAATTGAAAATTTTTAAGTTCTTAGACCACTTTCATTCTGTGTCAGAAACCTATGCTGTGTCAAATATTTAATTACAATCCAAATTCAGTGCTGTATCAAGCTTGAATGTTGTGTCCATACTTGCCCCAACTGTTCAGGGTTCGACCTCTGCGGTCGTATCAAGCTGCGCCCCAGCGGAGCATTTTATTGTTCTCTTAACTTAAGTTTGTCTCAACCAAATGTTATGAAACTTATACACAATGCTTATTACCACAAAACACAGATCAAGATTAAATTTGGTTGGCGTCACTTTTACCATTCTAGAGTTATGCCTCTTTACAAATGGAAAAATTGCTAAATTTTTCGTTTCTGTTCTCTAACTTAAGTTTGCCTCAACCAAATGTTATAAAACTTATACACAATGCTTATTACCACAAAACTCAGTTCAAGTACGAATTTGGGTAGCTTCACTTTTACTTAAAATAAAAGTTTTACAATAAATATTACAATAACTAAACATAATGATTCATGTAAATGAGGTCAAGGTCAGATGAAACCTGCCAGACAGATGTGTATAGCATACAATTTTTGGAAAGATTGGAACTTGTTCCAATTCTTTCCTTAGGCACCAGCCTCCCAAACAGAAAGTAGACAGATTTGCTACTAAATCAATAACTAAATCTATACACACTGACATGTAGTTCCCAATTGTTCTCATGTCTGTGTTCAGATGCACAAATGAACTGTAAAAATTTGGTTACTTGCATCTTAATTTAAAGCATGTTTTCTTTATAAGTCTTTATTTTTTTCAATTTACTGGCTAATTTTGTCTTTTTGATGAAGTAAGAGTATTGATACAATATCAGTATGATTGACAACTGTCATGATCAAAGAACAATTAAACACTATATGGGTGGGGCAATAATTGGAAATTGGAATTGTATATAGACTCCTCCTCTTAATGCCCATCATAATTGACCATATTACATAACTATTGAGTTTATACACCACATGACAGACTACTCAATACACAATCACTTGACCTCATAAGTATCAGATAGATGTTTGATCTATATAGGTCAGTGTCATTAGACGTCTCTGTCTTCATGTGTAATTGATACATTTGTACATATGGTTAACATACATATGAAATGTGTATTTCTTTAATAAAATTGAATACAGATGATAGATTTTAATCATTTATCTATATATAACTTTTCATTTACACTGCATTTAAAAAAATAAGATAAATGTAAAGTTTGGGAGATTAAAAAGGACTTGGTTTCAAGTCTCTTTATCCACTGGTCCCAGGTTTACTGAGAAACTACAATAAATTTTTTTATTAGGTAATTTCTTCTGTTTCAAAAAATATAAATATTAAGTTGCAATTAATAAAAGAAGTTATTATGCAAATTAGTGACCAACTTATATTGATCTCTGTTAAGCTATTTTATGCAATGAAAAGACTTGCTTATTTTAAAAAAAAAATCTGCAGTAACGTAACTAATAAATATACAATAAATAGTGCTATAGCAAGTTTTTCTTGTCCACCACCACTGTTATGGAAGAGCAGAATATGATTAAAACTATATACACAATTCTTCCAATCTTTCCATCAGTGATTTTAGATCACTTTAGATTTAATATACCATATGCATTTGACCTTTTGCTTATACAATGTAGTATGTATCTGAGAAATCAACCTAGCCACAAAAACTTTACAAAATAACTATGAAAAAGAGGTCAAGGTCATATAAACCCTGTAAGACAGAAATGTACACCTTACAATAATTACTTAAACCAAATAAAGTTGACCTAGTGCTTATACTATTCGAGAAACAGACCTAACTATAAAAACTCAACATTTAACAATGAACCCTGAACTCCATATATAGATATATATATATACAACAGCATCCTATTTTTACCTGGATGGCTGCACACGCCTGATGAAGGTAATTTGTTTAGCGCAATATTGCGTGAATATATGAAATATAACAACTATTTTTATAACACTCATTAGCGTGTTAAAGTTACATTCTTAGGCATTTATATACAGTTTCTAGCTGCATTGAAGACCCATTGGTGGCCTTCGGCTGTTGTCTGCTCTATGGTCAGGTTGTTGTCTCTTTGACACATTCCCCATTTCCATTCTCAATTTTATATATACATGTATTCCCTATTGCTTATCTGAGAAATAAGCCTAGCCACAAAAACTTAACAGTGACCAATGAACCATGAAAATGCCAGACGAACATCTAGTGATCACCAATAAATTGACCAAAATAATCATTGCATTTGCCAAATAAAGTTGATATGGATATAATCACAAATATTTAACCTTGATCACGGATCTATGAAATAATGTCAAGGTCAGGTGGATCCTGTGGCAGACATAAAGGCCTTGCAAGGACCCCTTCAACCAAATATAGTTACCCTATTACTCAAATAGGTGAGAAATTCACATGATTAAAAAAAATCAGTCGCTGAACCATGAAAATGAGATCAAGGACTACAGAAATATGAGACGAAAACTTCAGAACATAAAGCATCTATATAAAAGCAATAAAGGGTCAGATGTTCTTCCTATTGAAATACCTTATACAAATAGTTTATGCTACCCCTGATAAGCATCCCTTTGTCTTGCATTCTAGAAATTTTGTTGCAGGTGAGAGAAAAACGAATGCCCCTCACCACCTAAGATAAATGGTAAGTGCCCCATGTGTTTGACTATAGAATGCTGTTTATCAATCATATATCAAATAGAATTTTTTGTAATCGTAGATAAATTACCAGTAAGTGTAACAATATGGTATTAATCCATAAAGATGTCTTAAAGACTGAGCTTGGGACTAAAATTACAGTCAGATTCCAGTTTTCTCCTTATTCTCCAGGCATCAACCATTTTAGTATTGTGTTGTGTTGTTATGTGAATTTTGTGTGTGGGAAGCATTTTTTCTGGACTCCCCTACATCAGGAATGCTCAAACCCATTATTTGAAAACCAGGTATGTAATAATATGTGGAAAAATTAAGAGCTATATGACCGAAAGGGACTTAAAAACAATACCGGTAGCCTAATTAATCTCAATTTTAAATCTTGGCAATTATATGTATAGATTTATAAACAAAGACCAACTATAACTATATGTATTTATCAGTAATTAGTCAGTCCAAAAAGAAACAAATAAATCAGATCATGCTTTATTTTACCAAATAAATCTTTGTACATCAGGAGAATTCTCCCATTTAAATGGTTTATTTACAAACAAGTACACTGTTAAAAAATTAACTACCATATATAACATAGCTTCGGTCCATAACTGTACCCAGAAACCAGGCCTAATATTAAGACGGAAAATCAAATATGGAATAATAAAATATCTAAATTCAAGTAATTTCTGTGGCACAGTTGCTGCAATTAAACATATGCCAAATACAATTTTCCATATTTCATCTGTATGTGAATTTGTATTAAACAATGTTGAAAATGACCAGTATGAATACATATACACAGGAATGAGAAGATATTTGACCAAATAATGTCTACTATAAAGTCTTGCCCAAATATAAAATGTATAATGTCTATTATCTGATAATGAATAAAGATGAACATATGTAAAATTATGAATCAAAAGAAAAGAAATAGTTATAAATATCAAAGCTTTCACATAGCTTGAAATTTTATTAAAACATGTAAGAAAATTATAGACTTTTCCTGGTGTCAAAATGTATGAGAATGCAAATACTGAAGTGAATGATATGAAGTAAAATAACTGGGGGAAGTTTAGGCAAGCTGTATGGTGACTTCTATCACCTACTACAATGCCTTGGTTTACATACACAAATACTGAAAATCCTAAAATAATCATAATGTGACATGCACTTGATTTAACAATGCGAAATATCAAATAGATTAAATTAAGTTCTTTGTTTTGTGGTGGTTTTAATAGTAGATCTACTATCTTGAATAAGGTAACATCATCCTCCCTGCTTGACTTTGCTGCTGAAGATGGATTTGAATGTTCCTTTATAGATTTTCTTTGGTAACTATTCCCACTTTTTTCTTTAAACCAATCAACAATAACTTGTCTTGCAGTTAGACCAGCAATAAATACTACCCAAATGATATTAGTTTGTCTGAACATTATGGCAATTATTCCAACTATTGAAGCCGGCGCTTTGTTGCCTTGGAGATGAAGCAAATACATAAACAAGACAAAAAATGTTGATCCAACATCTGTGTAATACAGGAAGTTGAAGAAGAACAACAAAGGGAGAAGACTTAATGTCAAAGCTGTCACAGCAATCTTTGGCTCTATCTGAAAATCAGAAAATAAAATTATTATAAAATGAGTATAATTCCTTAGGTAAATGGCAGCTTCATCAACAAAAAAAAATTTCCGTGAATATAATCAAGAATTTGCTAAAGAATGTTCGTCGAGCAATTTACAGTTAATGAAATATTTTCATTAGTTTTTTTTTTCCTCAGGTCTACAATGTGGCCTTTTGCTGTCACATAGTAAAACAATGAAGTTTGAAATTTGTACTTCTTGTAGAAAACATTTTCAAACCATACAGTTAGATTGAAGCTAATATTTGAAGGTAATCATTAATCTTTCTAATATCAACTTGAAGTCAATACAATAAATTGCTTTTTTGTTTAAAATATCAATCAAGTCTGCAAAAAATACGCTTCTCAACTTTAGACAAAACTTAAACTAAGGGTAAAACAAACTGACAGTTAAGATAAATTCTATAATGTGTACCGTGGTGAAAAGGACTTCTGAATGTGGATAAAAGCTTTCTTATAGTCAGTAACATAAAACAATGTAATAACTTATATAAGAAAATATACTCATGTTTGAAATTTTGCTATGTCTGCGAAGTTTACCCAACACTATCATTTTACTGTTAATATAAATGCACTGTACAAAGTAGTGAAATAGGAATAAGGCATTAATATAAGAAGATTTATTAACTGCAACCCCTAAGAGAGCTACCATTTGATTTTTATGGGGGGCTAGGATGAAATTTGAAAAAAAAGGCAGAACAGGAGTTTTGAGTAAAACAAAAAGGCAGGATGAGCAACTTTGCAAAAAAAAAAGGCAGGATGACAATTTATGTAAAAAAAGTCAGGATAAACTAATAAAAAAAATGCAGGACGGAATAGAGTGAAAAATAAAAAGGCAGGACAGAGATTACAACTAAAAAAAAATGCAGGACAAAATTTTTCATCCTAGCCACCCCATAAAAATCAAATGGTAGCTCCCTAAGATCTAAACCATGAACAAACCCAGATATATGCTATAAAAGTTCCTTAAATGCAGTGTAGAGTCTTAAATATTAATACTTTTATAGTTTTGTCAGTAAAGATAATTATATGTTTATATTGTTTTGGTGGGTACTTTGTGTGTTGCTATCTCATTTAAATATATTACATATTCAATTTCATTAAAATAATATTAACTGACAAAATATACATTAAGAGCATTAATGATAGGTATTTGTTTCTTTAATAAAATTGAGAATGGAAATGGTGAATGTGTCAAAGAGACAACAACCCGACCATAGAGCAGACTACAGCCGAAGGTCATCAATGGGTCTTCAATGCAGCGAGAAACACCCGCACCCGGAGGCGTCCTTCAGCTGGCCCATAAACAAATATGTATACTAGTTCAGTGATAATGGACGTCATACTAAACTCCAAATTATACACAAAGAAACTAAAATTAATAAAATGCTTCGCTGGGGCGCAGCTTGATACGACCGCAGAGGTTGAACCCTGAACAGTTGGGGCAAGTATGGACACAACATTCAAGCTTGATACAGCTCTGAATTTGGATTGTTATTAAATATTTGACACAGCATAGGTTTCTGACACAGAAAGAATGTGGTCTAAGAACTTGAATTTTTTTAATTTACCTATTATGGTCCCATGCCCAAAATCAAAATACATGGTTAGATTCAGCATATCAAAGAACCCCATATATTCAATTTTTGTTAAAATCAAACAAAGTTTAATTTTGGACCCCAACTTGGACAAACTTGAAAACTGGGCCCATAATCAAAAATCTAAACACATGTTTAAATTCAGCATATCAAAGAACCCCAAGAATTCAATTTTTGCTAAAATCAAACTAAGTTTAATTTTGGACCCTTTGGACCTTAATGTAGACCAATTTAAAAAACAGGACTTAAAATTAAAAATCTAAATACAGGGTTAGATTTGGAATATCAAAGAACCCCAATAATTCAATTTTTGATGAAATCAAACAAAGTTTAATTTTGGACCCTTTTGACCTCAATATGAACCAATTTGATAGCGGGGCCCACAAATAACTAGAGGCTCTAAAGAGCCTGTGTCGCTCACCTTGGTCTTTGTGCATATTAAACAAAGGACACAGATGGATTCATGACAAAATTGTGTTTTGGTGATGGTGATGTGTTTGTAGATCTTACTTTACTGAACATTCTTGCTGCTTACAATTATCTCTATCTATAATGAACTTGGCCTAGTAGTTACAGTGGAAAATATTTTGTAAAAATTTACAAAAATTTACAAAATTTATGAAAATTGTAAAACATTGACTATAAAGGGCAATAACTCCTTAAGGGGTCAATTGACAATTTTAGTCGTGTTGACTTATTTGTAGGTCTTACTTTGCTGTACATTATTGCTGTTAACAGTTTATCTCTATCTATAATAATATTCAAGATAGTAACCAAAAGCTGCAAAGTTTTCTTAAAATTACCAATTCAGGGGCAGCAACCCAACAACGTGTAGCCTGATTGGTCTGAAAATTTCAGGGCAGATAGATCTTGACCTAATGAGCATTTTTATCCTGTCAGATTTTCTCTAAATGCTTTGGTTTCAGTGATATGAGCCAAAAACTGCATTTTACCCTATGTACTTTTTTTTAGCCATGTCTGCCATCTTGGTTCGCGGGCGGGGTCATAGGACACATTTTTTAAACAAGATACCCTAATGATGATTGTGGACAAGTTTGGTTAAATTTATCTTAGTAGTTTCAGAGGAGAAGATTTTTGTAAAAGATTACAAAAATCTACGAAAAATGGTTAAAAATTGACTATAAAGGGCAATTACTCCTTAAGGGGTCAACTGACCATTTTGGTCGAGTCGACTTATTTGTAGATCTTACTTTGCTAAACATTATTGCTGTTTACAGTTTATCTTTATCTATAATAATATTCAAGATAATAACAAAAACCGACAAAATTTCCTTAAAATTACCAATTCAGGGGCAGCAACCCAACAACAGGTTGTCAGATTCATCTGAAAATTTCAGGGCAGATAGATCTTGACCTGATAAACAATTTTACCCTATGTCAGATTTGCTCTAAATGCTTTGGTTTCAGAGATATAAGCCAAAATCTACATTTTACCCCTATGTTCTATTTTTAGCCATGGCGGCCATCTTGGTTGGTTGGCCGGGTCACCGGACACATTTTTTAAACTAGATACCCCAATGATGATTATGGCCAAGTTTGGTCAAATTTGGCCCAGTAGTTTCAGAGGAGAAGATTTTTGTAAAAGTTTACGGACGACGGACGCCAAGTGATGAGAAAAGCTCACTTGGCCCTGTGGGCCAGGTGAGCTAAAAACGGCAAAATTTCCTTAAAATTACCAATTCAGGGGCAGCAACCCAACAACGGGTTGCCTGATTGGTCTGAAAATTTCAGGGCAGATAGATCTTGACCTAATGAACAATTTTATCCTCATCAGATTTGCTCTAAATGCTTTGGTTTCAGAGATATGAGCCAAAAACTGCATTTTACCCTATGTACTATTTTTTAGCCATGTCGGCCATCTTGGTTCGCGGGCGGGGTCATCGGATACATTTTTTAAACTAGATACTCTAATGATGATTGTGGACAAGTTTGGTTAAATTTGTCTTAGTAGTTTCAGAGGAGAAGATTTTTGTAAAAGATTACAAAAATTTACGAAAAATGGTTAAAAATTGACTATAAAGGGCAATTACTCCTTAAGGGGTCAACTGACCATTTTGGTCATGTTGACTTATTTGTAGATCTTACTTTGCTGAACATTATTGCTGTTTACAGTTTATCTCTATCTATAATAATATTCAAGATAATAACCAAAAATGGCAAAATTCCTTAAAATTACCAATTCAGGGGCAGCAACCCAACAACGGGTTGTCCGATTCATCTGAAATTTTCAGGGCAGATAGATCTTGACCTGATAAACAATTTTACCCTATGTCAGATTTGCTCTGAATGCTTTGGTTTCAGAGATATATGCCAAAATCTACATTTTACCCCTATGTGCTATTTTTAGCCATGGCGGCCATCTTGGTTGGTTGGCCGGGTCACCGGACACATTTTTTAAACTAGATACCCCAATGATGATTGTGGCCAAGTTTGGTCAAATTTGGCCCAGTAGTTTCAGAGGAGAAGATTTTTGTTAAAGTTTACGGACGACGGACGACGGACGCAAAGTGATGAGAAAAGCTCACTTGACCTTTCAGGTCAGGTGAGCTAAAAAATCTAAATTCATGGTTAGATTCAGCATATCAAAGAACCCTATATATTCAATTTTTGTTGAAATCAAAAAAAGTTTAATTTTGGACCCCAACATGGACCAACTTGAAAACTGGGCCCATAATCAAAATTCTAAACACATGTTTAGATTCAGCATATCAAAGAACCCCAAGAATTCAATTTTTGATAAAATCAAACTAAGTTCGATTTTGGACCCTTTGGACCTCAATGAAGACCAATTTAAAAAACGGGACCCAAATTAAAAATCTAAAAACACGGTTAGATTTGGCATATCAAAGAACCCCAATAATTCAGTTTTTGATGAAATCAAACAAAGTTTAATTTTGGACCCTTTTGACCTCAAAATGAACCAATTTGATAGCGGGGCCCACAAATAAAAAATCTAAATACATGGTTAGATTCAGCATATCAAAGAACCTCATATATTCAATTTTTGTTGAAATCAAACAAAGTTTAATTTTGGACCCCAATTTGGACCAACTTGAAAACTGGGCCCATAATCAAAAATCTAAATACATGTTTAGATTCAGCATATCAAAGAACCCCATATATTCAATTTTTGTTGAAATCAAACAAAGTTTAATTTTGGACCCCAATTTGGACCAACTTGAAAACTGGGCCCATAATCAAAAATCTAAATACATGTTTAGATTCAGCATATCAAAGAACCCCATATATTCAATTTTTGTTGAAATCAAACAAAGTTTAATTTTGGACCCCAACTTGGACAAACTTGAAAAATGGGCCCATAATCAAAAATCTAAACACATGTTTAGATTCAGCATATCAAAGAACCCCAAGAATTCAATTTTTGTTAAAATCAAATTAAGTTTAATTTTGGACCCTTTGGACCTTAATGTAGACCAATTTAAAAAACAGGACCCAAAATTAAAAATCTAAATACACGGTTAGATTTGGAATATCAAAGAACCCCAATAATTCAATTTTTGATGAAATCAAACAAAGTTTAATTTTGGACCCTTTTGACCTCAATATGAACCAATTCGATAACAGGGTCCACAAATAAAAAATCTAAATACATGGTTAGATTCAGCATACTGTGGATTCATTTATTTTCGTGGGTATCAATTTTCGTGGATAGAGAAAAAAAGACGTTTCGTGGTATACGTAAATTCGTGGATCGCTGATTACAAAAAAAAAAATCAGATACGTAATTCGTGGATTTCTTTTTGATTTTGGAGATCATATAACCTCCTTGGTTTAATCAATAATAAAACAAACAAAAAAGAAGGAATTCATTGAAAAAGTTTTGAATTGTCAAAATCCTCGCTTGGTCATTCTAGGTTAAAGTGTTCATTGAAAACTTCTATTACAATAATGGACAGAGACAACTAATTATTTGTTTGTTTTACAATTTATAAATTCTTGTCGGAATTTTATAAGGCATTCAAAACTCTATGATTGAAAGCTCATTTCCCTAATCACGAATCGGATATAATTAACAGTCATATAAGTAAAAGGTGTGAACATAAATGTTCCTGTCATAAACAATATTACCTACGGGCAATATCCCCGTACTTAATCCTATTGATTTTTTATCACCAGTAAACCAAACTATGACACGGTAATTAACAACTTGCAGTTATTTTCCATGAACATTTTTAATCAATTTCAAAAAGTAAATTATTACCTATATTCGATATATTTATTATTGATTTAATCAAAATACTTGTATCTTCTTTCAATAAAAACACGTGTTATGTTACAATGTTTATCGCTAGTCAACACTATACTAGAACAGCATAACATAACCGGAAATAAATATCCGGCTCCATACACATTTCTCGGGACTATTCTTCGTTGAATTCTTAAATTCGTGGTTCGCTGTGACCCACGAAACCCACGAAAATTAGTATACCACGAATAAAAATGAATCCACAGTATCAAAGAACCCCATATATTCAATTTTTGTTGAAATCAAACAAAGTTTAATTTTGGACCCCAATTTGGACCAACTTGAAAACTGGGCCAAAAATCAAAAATCTAAATACATGTTTAGATTCAGCATATCAAAGAACCTCATATATTCAATTTTTGCTAAAATCAAACAAAGTTTAATTTTGGACCCTTTGGACCTTAATGTAGACCAATTTGAAAACTGGACCCAAAATTAAAAATCTAAATACACTGTTAGATTTGGCATAACAAATAAATAAATGTGATCAAAGATTTTACAAATCTAATGCGCCATACTGTGCAATTAAAGATTACTTCTTGAAATTTTTCAATATTTGAAATTTGAAAAAAAAATAATATTTGAAGAATAATTCTTTTTAATTTCTGAAATCTGAAATGAGAAAAAATTGACCCCCCACAATTTCTTTTTATCCCCCCCCCCCCTTTTTCCCCCAAAAAATTCTTTCCCTCAAGATATGGTCATAATCTCAATTCAAATTTCCAATGGAGTTGGCAACCATAATTACCCATTTAAATTTACCATAGTGCTAACTTAATCTATTTTATAATAGAATTAAAAATATAGTGTCAAATCTTTCATATGGATTTTTTTGTAAAAAAAAAGATGCAACATTTGCAGATATTTTTACTGGTCTTCCTTTATAAATATGCATTTCTTTAAACATAATTTAAAAGCAGTGTTAGGGAAGTAACCAAAACGTTGTATTTGGATTACCTCCCTTACACTGTTTTAAATTATCTTTATTGTGCATTAACCAGTACTTTATACATACCGGTAATTTAAAAGCAGTGTAAGGGAGATAATTTCAATGATGTATTTGATTTATCTCCCTTACACTGCTTTAAATTATGTTTTGTACTAAAGTATTTGTCCATTAACCAGGACAACCTTGTTTTTCCCCCTTTTTTGCCCCTAATTCCTAAACAGTTTGAGCCATAACCCCCAAAGCAAATCCTAACCATCCCTTTGTGGTATGGAAACTTGTAGTATAATTTCAGAGAGATCCATACACCGTTTCACAGTTATTGTCTGGAAACTAGAAAATGTTTATTTTTGGCCCCTTTTTGGCCCCTAATTCCTTAACTGTTGGTACCATAACCCCCAAAATCAATCCCAACCTTCCTTTTGTGGTATTTAACCTTATGGTCAAATTTCAAAAAGATCCATTTACTTAAACTAAAGTTAGAGTGCGAAAACCAATGTGTCTTCGGACGACGACGCCGGACGACGACGACAACGCCGGACGACGACGACGCCAACGTCATACCAATATACGACCACAAAATTTTTTTGCGGTCGTATAAAAATGATACAAGACTAACAATGGCCAGAGGCTCCTGACTTGGGATAGGCGCAATATTGCGGCGGGGTTAAACATGTTTTTTGAGATTTCAACCCTCCCCCTATACCTCTAGCCAATGTAGAAAAAACAAACGCATTAATTAATGCATACCTCATATCTCTTATATTCAAAAGTGATTACTCTGGATTCGTTATTATTTGTGGAATACCAATTTTCGAGGATTTTGTGGGTAAAGGTGATCCACAAATCTAAATCTTGAATGAAGTATGCATTTTCTATAGACTGAGATGTACGAAGACGTTGGTAAAACCAGGAAAATACAATTTTTCCTTCATCCACAAAAATTGGTACCTCTATTGGAAGACGTTGGTAAAACCAGGAAAATACAATTTTTCCTTCATCCACAAAAATTGGTACCCATGAAAATAAATTAATCCACAGTACAAGTATATCATACAAATACAATGAACATCTGTAGTTGACCTTCAAGTATATCTACAGTTAAATCAAAGCCAAATACATACCTTTTCTTTTTTGTGTAATTTACACATAATTGTGTATATTACATAAAAGTTTCCAATGGCAAAAAGGAGGTTAACAGATCTTAGCCATAACACCGAGCACACATGATCAGTCTCAACACCAAGAGCTTTTCCTAGAGGTACCAGAATACCTACAGACATCAAATAGAGGCCAGGTAAGGTAGTAATCATTGGATCCCACTAAAATGATAAAAAAAACTAGATTGTTTTTCTTCATGAATCAAAATATATCTTGATTGAAAAATATTAGTCGAAAAGAGTTATCATAATTTCAATCAGTCTCAGTTTAGTAATTAATACCAAACTTAATAAAATGCTCCGCAGGGCGCAGCTTGATACGACCGCAGAGGTCGAACCCTGAAAAGTTGGGGCAAGTATGGACACAACATTCAAGCTTGATACAGCTCTGAATTTGGATTGTGATTAAATATTTGACACAGCATAGGTTTCTGACACAAAATGAATGTGGTCTAAGAACTTAAAAATTTTAAATTGGACATTCACCTATTATGGTCCAATATCAAAAATCTAAATACATGGTTAGATTCAGCATATCAAAGAACCCCAAGAATTCAATTTTTGATGAAATCAAACAAAAGTTTAATTTTGGACCCTTTTGACCTCAATGTGGACAAAGTTGATAACGGGGCACAAAAATCAAAAATCTAAATACATGGTTAGATTCAGCATATCAAAGAACCCCATATATTCAATTTTTGTTGAAATCAAACATAGTTTAATTTTGGACCCCGATTTGGACCAACTTGAAAACTGGGCCCATAATCAAAAATCTAAAAACATGTTTAGATTCAGCATATCAAAGAACCCTAAAAATTCAATTTTTGATGAAATCAAACAAAGTTAAATTTTTGACCCTTTGGACCTAAATGTGGACCAATTTAAAAACGGGGCCCAAAATCCAAAAACACAATACACGGTTAGATGCAGCATATTAAAGAACCCCATTGAAATTGATCAAGAAATAAGCAATTTATACGAAGTATCTTCTTTTGCACAATACTGTGCAATTGAATATTTCTTGCTATTGCGCAATACTGTACAATTGACAATTTCTTGCTATTGTGCAATATTGTGCTATTGGATATTTCTTGCTATTGCGCAATACTGTGCAATTGAAGATTTCTTGCTATTGCGCAATACTGTGCAATTGAAGATTTCTTGCTATTGTGCAATACTGTGCAATTGAAAATTTCTTGCTATTGCACAATACTTATTATATAATAATTCACACATCCTGTTTGGTGTGTATCTCCTACCATATCATTATTATTTGCTTTTAAATATAAATCAGAAATAACCAACTTAAAATTGAGAATTTTAAAAGAAAAAAAAAAGGAAAAAAAGAAAAAAAAAAGAAAAAAAAAAAAATCCCCCCCCCCCCCAAATATTTTGAACCCCCTTATGATTCATCACCCCCAAACTCAATCCCAGCCTTCCCTTTGTGGTATGGTACCTTGCAGTACAATTTCAGAGAGATCCATACACTTGAACACAAGTTATTGTCTGGAAACTAGAAAATTGCTTATTTTTGGCCCCTTTTTGGCCCCCAATTCCTTAACGTTTCGGGCAATTACCCCCAAACTCAATTCCAGCTTTCCCTTTGTGATATGGAACCTTGTAGTACAATTTCAGAAATATCCAAACACTTACACACAAGTTATTGTCATGAAACTAGAAAAATGCTTGTTTTTTGCCCCTTTTTTGGCCCCTAATTCCTAAAATTTTGAGGCAATTACCCCCAAAATCAATTACAGCCTTCCCTTTATGATATGGAACCTTGTGGTACAATGTCAGAGAGATCCATAAACTTACACACAAGTTATTGTCTGGAAGTTACAAAAATGCTTATTTTTGGCCCCTTTTTGGCCCCTAATTCCTTAACTGTTGGTACCATAACCCCCAAAATTAATCCCAATCTTCCTTTCGTGGTATTGAACCTTATGGTAAAATTACATGGAGATCCATTCACTTAAACTAAAGCTAGAGTGCGAAAACTAATGTGTCTTCGGACGACGCCGGACGACGACGACGACTACGACACCAACGTCATACCAATATACGACCAAAAAATTTTTAATTTTTGCTGTCGTATAAAAATGTAATTATATAATTTAATTTTGGATGCAACACATCTTCTGATTGTTTGAAAGTGTTTTGTCTATCAGCTCATAGAAATAATTTTGTCATGTGACCTTGACATCACCGACATTTTTTTTCTTAAAAATTTACTTGTTAAAAATTGAATTTAGAATCAAATTATAAGGAATGAATGTAATATTTTTTGTCTATTCGAAATAACCTAAAAAATGTGGTGCACACTTTTAAATAACCCATTACATGAGTTATTCAGTGTGCACCACATTTTTGATGTTATTTCTTCATAGACAGAAAAAATATTACAGTCATTCCTTAAATATACAATATTTGTTCAGTGTAGACAAATAAATAACTGGTGATTCATTATTGTTTGTGTCATACCAATTTGTTACCTATTCAGATATCTGACTCGGATTTCTTTTAAACTGAGTTTTACTGTGCGTATTGCTATGTGTTTCTTTTTTTCTACATTGACTAGAGGTATAGGGGGAGGGTTGAGATCTCACAAAACATGTTTAACCCTGCCGCATTTTTGCGCCTGTCCCAAGTCAGGAGCCTCTGGCCTTTGTTAGTCTTGTATGTTTTTTAATTTTAGTTCATTTATATGTTTTGGAGTTTAGTGTGACGACCATTTTCACTGAACTAGCACACAATTTTATTTAGGGGCCAGCTGAGGACCACCTTCGGGTGCAGGATTTTCTCGCTGCATTGAAGACCCATTGGTGGCCTTCGGCTGTTATCTGCTCTTTGGTCGGATTGTTGTCTCTTTGACATATTCCCCATTTCCATTCTCAATTTTACAATGTATGTGAATTTCATTGCTAAAGATGAACCACAATTCTAATGTTCAAACAAGTACACATTTCCTATAGACTAATATGCAGACTTTTTCAAAACTATAAAATCAAATATCCACGGAAATATAACTTGACCTCAATCCACGAAAAAATTGGTACCAATAAATATAAATGAACTTTCACATTCGTGCGTTTTCAGATTCTTGTACAATTCCTTTGTCACAATGCTTATGTTATTACATCACAGTAAGAATTGATTGTTCAATGACATCATTTACTCATTCAAGTAAAACAAAAAAATAAATGAAGAATGTGTCCATGGGACGCAGATGCCCCTGCTTGTAAACATACGGCAAATTCTGCAATTTTCTAATTTACAAAGGGACATAACTCAAGAAAGGCAAAGTGACACCATCCAAATTAGAATTTGATCTGTGTTTGGTGGTAATAAGCATTGTGCAAAAGTTTCATAACATTGATTGATGCAAAACTAAAGTTAGGGTGTGGAAACGGCAAATTTAGTAATTTTTCAATTTATAAAGGGACATAACTCAAGTGAAAGTGACGCTACCAAAATTAAAACTTGATCTAAGTTTGGTAGTAATAAGCATTGTGCATAAGTTTCATAACCTTCGGATGAAGCAAAATAAAGAAAGACTGCAGAAACTGCAAATTTGCCGATTTTTCCATTTAGACTATTGTCGTATTGATAATTTTCACATTCATGCCTTTTCTCGTTCATTTCCTTTGTCACAATGCTTATGTTATTACATCACAATAAGAATCAATTGTTCAATGACATCATTTACTCATCAATATAAAACAACTCCAGATTTATAATTATTCCAAGCCTAAACTGGTAAGAAAAAACATGTATCATGGTATAGAAAGATGTCTCACATGGCTAAAATTTCCTTGACAATATTGTTTTGCTTGAGGAACATGAAAAATCTCATCCATGTATGGATCAGTCTGTTCATTGTGAATGACAAAAAAGCTTATTGAAAACAATAATACAAGAAAGGCCAGAGCCACTGGGAAGTTCATGATGCAACAATCAATTCGAAAACTCTAGAGAGACTCCTAAGATAGTTAATATAGGGGAACAGTTATTGTCTTTACTTTTAAAGTTTTGAGAAATACTAATTAACAAATTAAAGTCTATTCTTAGTCATATAAATATGAAGCTGAAAATATTCATCAATAAGATAAAATAATGGAAGGTCAGACATATGTATAAAAAAGATTGATTAAATGATAATGTTTTACAATAACAACTGGTCCCTCTTCTCTCCTATTTAGAGGTAGGAAAGCATGCATCAAAAAAGCACTTGCTGATCAATAATATTTTAAATTTTGATTTAATAGTATTCAAAAATGAACAAAGGATGGCTTGAGCTAGAAAGTGATCCAGGTAATTATCAAAATAAGCTTCTTTTTTATGTTGCTACACTGGTTGTTTATTAGTATTATTACACGGAGTTATTTTGATTTTAGATAAACATAAAAGACCGGTATGACCGTCTGTTTTGTTGACATGATTGATCACCAACGTTTACATTATCTGGGTCTGTTGGTCATGTCTGTCAAATTTCTGTACACGTTATATACAAGTTATTCGGGGATCTCCTGTTCATAGTGTCAGTGATCGCAATAAATGGTAAACCAGTATCACTGAGTATTGTCTACAATACTGGAATAAAATTGTGTACCAGTAATGTATTCCAGTTGTAACCAGGAGGCATGATTCTTCTTACAAAATCACATTGTCTTCTCTGGGACTCAAACCTTGGATCTTTGTATTACAAGGCAGAGCTCTAACTGACTGAGCTTAAGAAGTACTTCCTTAGCTCAACCGCTTACAGCTGGCTAAGTATCTACTTCTGAAGGGAAGCAATCTCGTCACACTTTCCCCACCTCAAGAGTCATCATAACATTTTGACTCTTAGAACACATACCTGTCTAAAAAATCCTTTCTAATCAACGTGGGTGTTTTTTGGTTTGGCGCTAAATTGAATCGGAAAGCATGATTCTTCTTACAAAATCATATTGTCTCCTCCAGGACTCGAACACAGGATCTCTGTTTTACAAGGCAGTGTTCTAACCGACTGAGCTGAAGAAGTACTGCCTTAGCTAAACTGCTTACGGCTGGCTGAGTATCAACCATTGTCAACTACAGTCTACTGAAGGGAAACAATCCTGTCACACAGTATTGTACCAGTATTGTGGTTTTAAGAAAAATTATATCAGGTGGAAAAACAATAATGAAATATGATATGTATGACAATCTTATTAGATTTTTAAGCATTTTATATATTAAGCAGTAATCATGATAATAATTAATGATATGAAAATGGACATTTTTAAGAACTAATGGTCATATTTTAATTTACATGTAGGAATGATATGACAAGGGTTTTTCAGTTCTTATATAAATGAAAATAATGATCAAATTATATGTTAAATGGTGATATAGAGCAATTTTCATCAAAGAAAGTTTCAAATCTTTAGTGGTCTTTTTCTTTAGACATGTAAGGCCAATCACATTATCCCTATTTGTCCTCTATTGCTCAACATCACACACAAGAGAAAATGTCTGACACCACAAACTGTGGAATATATGTTAGATAACTTTAAAGGGGCATTACATGTAGCTGTCAAATTCATGTTACCGAATTGACTCAAATTTTCATTTTTGATTGATAACATTTACAGTATCATTTCAAATATTTATGCCATAGAAAATGTAACAGAAATATGAAATACTTCAATAAACATTTTGCTGTCACTAATACATTTCTGGTACATTTTATTTGCTAGAAGGTATGTTTAAAATGACAATTGTGGATGATCTCTATGAAAAATGTCAACTGACTTGTTGATATCATGATCTATAATATAATGATATAACATATGAGACGTAAATGATAATATTTAATATGAGGCAGGTGTTACCTGTGAAGAGGATGAAGTCTGTAAAAAAAAATTCTTTTAATACTTATAAGTTTTTGCAAAATTAAAACTACAGAAAATTGTACTAAGGTCATCAATTTTTTTTCATTTATAAAATTTTACATTAAAAAATATTAAAAAAAAAATCACTATAATTTAAAAACCATCCTTAAGATACCCTTCATCATTGGCTTCATGACTGAGGGCTTTACAATAAATACCTCTTTACCAAATTGCAAGACAAGTTATTCCCAGCATAATTTCTGTTGAAAAAGTAACTGAAACAACAGAAACGTATCCAATCATGGTCTTGTTGCTGGATTTTATTAAAGACATCATTTTCAATGTAATCAAAGAAACAATATCTGCTTCAGGTAACGTTTTTTCATATAAAGTATTATTTAATGAAAAGTATAATAATATATTCCTTTAATGACGAAAATACCACATTGGCTTATCATTTTTCTTTGTGCATTTGATAAGGATACAAAAACCTGCCTGATCATGTCAGTTTCCCCAACTCATTTTGTTTGCTATAGATCTTGAAAATTGTATATTGAGGAAGCTCTAGATTAATTTTATTATGTACACAGACTAAATTCAAATATTTGTCCTCATAGTACATGTATTGCCGTTATTCTTTTTGGTAATCAGCAAAAAATTGATCAGATTATTTGATATATATATATCAGACGTAATTCATATTTATGATCCAAATTTTTATTTTTTATTTTTATTTTAGGATTGTTTACATTGTTGTTGGAAGATTTTGGTAAGTCAGAATAAAATGAACCTAAGAAATAGTTGACAAATTCAATGGACAGTCTAGCTAATAAGTCAAAATAAACAGCAGAGTTATCTTGAAAAGAAGTGTCCCAAGGTTTGGACCACCAAAATTATTCAAAGGACAAACACAATTTTGGTATTTTGCAAATACTTTTGAGGACCAGCAGATTTTCTTCAAAGACCACCAGGGAAATAAAGATTTTGAGAAGTCTGAACATAATTCATCCACAACTTTGCAAAGAACTAGATTAATTACACAGAATGAACAAAATGTCTTACTCACATCTCTTGTTAGTGTACTATTCACTAGAATTCAACATTTACATTCTTTCTTGAGGTTTTCTATTTGTTCTGCCAAATTTGGTCAATTTGTTTATTTTTTAATGTCTGTTTAGCAATGTTAATATCAGTTGTGAACACATCCAGCAAAAGAATTATATAAAATATGATATATATTACAATGGATTAAAATAAAAATTGCATTTTAGATAACTAATTTTAAAAGCAAAGAATATGCTTAAATTCATTTTTTTATACGACCGCAAAAATTAAAAATTTTTTGTTATACGACCACAAAAATTAATATTTTTTTGGTCGTATATTGGTATCACATTGTCGTCATGGTCGTCGTCAGCGTCGTCCGAAGACAGATGGTTTCCGGATAATAACTTTAGTATAAGTAAATAGAAATCAATAAAATTTTAACACAAGGTTTATAACCACTAAAGGAAGGTTGGGATTGATTTTGGGGGTTATGGTCCCAACTGTTTAGGAATTAGGGGTCAAAAAAGGGGCCCAAATAAGCATTTTTGTAGTTTCCAGACAAATACTTGTTTTAAAGTGTATGAATCTCTCTGAAATTATACCACAAACTTCCATACAACAAAGGAATGGTTAGGATTGACTTTGGGGGGTTATGGCTCAAACCATTTAGTAATTAGGGGCAAAAAAGGGGAAAAACAAGGGTTTTTCTGGTTAAAGGACAATTGAGACAATTTAAAAGCAGTGTAAGGGAGGCAATCCAATTCAAATTAAAGAACACTGTTTGATTACCTCCCTTACTTTACTTGTAAATTATGTATTAAGAAATGATGATTGTCTTGAGGTGATTAGCTGTCAATTTATTTTTAGCAGTTACTATTAATTAATATTAATTTTAGCCATGACTATGTATGTCATTTTATATTTTAAAACTTTTATTACGTATTTAAATGGGTGGGGTGGGGGTGGGGGTCAATTCGCAACAGCATAGTGTATTGCGCAAAAGCAATAAATTGAATATAAATTCAAATCATATAACCAATTTGAAGTTCTTTGACTACAGTTATGCTGTGTCAGAAACCTATTATGTGTCAAAAATTTAGTTACGATCCAAATTCAGACCTGTATCAAGCGTGAATATTGTGTCCATTTTGGCCCAACTGTTCAGGGTTGGACATCTGCGGTTGTATCCAGCTGCGCTCAGCAAATCAATTTATTTTAAATTTGGAAGCAGCCTTAAACATGTTAAAAAACCTTAATATATATCTATCTGCATTAAAAAATGATTTACTACTTTTGAGATAGTCATGTTTCACCATAAAAATGTAAACCCTTTTTCTGCTTAGTGCAAATTTTTCTTTCATGGAGATAACATTACTAATTATGTTCATTGACATAGTAGGTGAAGTAGAGCAATTGTTTCCAGTTAAGATGTATTCATCATAGAAATATATTTCTACTGGAAACATAGATGTCTTTGTAAGACACATAGGAAAAAACTTAAGGTAAACATTGTAGAAATGGACATCTGAAATGGATTCAACTTATACATGTACCGGTATGTCTATCAGTGAGATTGTCTATAAAGAAATATATCTAATGACTTTTTAATTTTTTTCAGGAGTGAAAGGAGTTCAAGTAGAAGAAATTTATGATCTACAGAAGGCTATTGATGGGTAAAAAATATGATTATACATGTATATAAAAATAATAAGATGTGGTGTGATTGCTATTTAGAAAACTATCCACCAGAGATCAAAGGATGAGAAAGTTTTTTTGGGTGTTTGCTGTTTATACATGCCTCTCTTTTGATTTTAAGTGATTGCATTGTTTTCTGAATTTGATTTTGGGATTCCCCCTATTGTCTCTTATTATCTTTCTGGTATGATATATGAACAGTTATGATGAATTTGAATTCAAGATACATTTACACATAGTTTATTCTGAGAAAGTATGGTATTTTTTTCTCTGCTTGATAAAACATATGTTATTTGTATGACAGAATTATATCATATTAAATGTTATTATTTTCAGACCAGTTTATGGATTTATATTTTTATTCCGATGGATAGAAGAAAGAAGAAGTAGAAGAAAAACAATCACAGAAGAAGAAACTTTTCTTACAAATGAAGATGAAGTTAACAATTTGTTCTTTGCACAACAGGTATGCAGGAAAACTGCATATATTTTAAAGCATATCATACATACTTAAACAAAGTTAAGATAGTTAGCTCTCAATCTGAGCTACTATTTATAGCTTTCTCATATGCATTTTCAGTTTTCCCAATCATGCTTACAGCTAGCATTCCAGGTAAACATTAAAAGGGTCAGTAGGTCAAAGGTCAAGGGTCAAGGTCACAGTTACTAAAAATAACTGTTCATATTATGAAAATCTTCCAAAATCTTGGGTTTCTATATGGAATCTTAATTATTACCTACAGCTATTCAGGAATATATTTTTTTGCATGTGCCTCCAGATCTGGTGTAAATAGCCATGGTTATGGGAATCCTGACACACAAACCAAAGGCCAAAAAATGGCTTTCTGTGTGCCAGTATCAAGGATCTGGAGGGAAAATTATTTATCAAATTACAGCTATATATAGGTTGAAATTTTGTCAGAATGATTGTTTCCAAATGAAATCTCTTTAAATTTATAACTTTAAAAAAAAAAATACAGCAGTATTATTGAGTATGTGCCCCAGACCTGGCAAATAAGTCAGCGTCAAGTAAACCCCTGGTAATTTGTTTCAGGGTGGATGAAATCTCTAAAATATAACGTTTTTTGTTTTAATTTTAGCAATATTATTTAGCATCTGCCCTAACTTCTCTTAATAAACGTTTGGTTCTAGGAGAAACTGTTGTCAGGACCAACTTCTTATTTGTATTTGAGCAGGGGCACCAAAATAAATAAGAATAAAAAACCCTGATATCTTTGTTTTGTGGTTGTTAAAGTAAAAAATAGTGGAAACAGATAACAGATCTACAATCATCAACACTGTGTCACAGTACCAAAAACATTTGCATTATTATAAAAATAAGTAGATGTGGTATAATTGCCAATGATACAACTATCCATCAGAGTTCAAATGACGAAGATATATGAAAGCAAATGTTTAACAGATATTTTTACATTTTTGTAGGTGGTTCCTAATTCCTGTGCTACACATGCCTTACTGAGTGTCCTGTTAAACTGTGATAAAGTGAGACTTGGAGATACATTGTCAAAGCTTAAACTGTTCTCTAGAGGCATGAATCCTGAGGTAATTTATGAATTGGTTATAGTGATGCACCATTTATCTTAATAATATTCATGAGAGATCATATTTCCAATGATAGCAGTTATTGGAGTGATGATTGGGCTTGACAATTTGACATTCATGATACTATTTTAGATACTGCAAACATGCCAGAATCATAAACACAATAGTTTGTTATAAAATGTGATTTTGTTTTACATTTTTTCATATTTTTAACAAAAGTATGTCTACTTGCAAATCACACTTTTTGAAAATTGTAAAAATGGTTTATAATAAACAGCAGTAGAAGAAAATTAAGATGACAAAAAAGGAATGAAATGAAAATAGAAATAATAGGACTAGGGAATAAAATAAGTGCTGTGTTAAAGATGGAAAACAGTTTATTGACATTTTTACTTTTTTGTTCCAAATAGTATTGCAGTTTTTATAAAAGTGATGGTTCTTTGAAAACACAATCATTAACATAATTGATAGTTGTTTAGTTTGACTTAACCAATGATAACTGATCTTAAGTTTTTAAAATTTTTACCGATTAAAACAATGCTAGCCAATCTACGACTTCTGAATATTTTATTTAAAAAAAAATCCTATATATTAGAAAGAAAGGGATTAAATTATCTTAAAAAATGGGAAATAAGATTGCATATTATTCCATTAGTTATGTTACTCATAAAAGTATGGCCTACTTTTTTATTTTAGGACAAAGGTTATGCCATTGGAAATATGCCTGAATTAGCTGAAGCACATAACAGTCATGCACGGTACAGTAGTCTTTATTAAATTACTTTAATGGCAACAAATCAATAATGTAAACAATAATTTGCCTTTTGATAAAACCTTGTTTCCACATTTATTGTGGGTTATTTATTAAAACGAAATAGGGAGGTTAAAAAGAGGTTTTATTTTTGTAAATGGGTCATTAGTCAATTATGTAATATAAGGATATCAGTTTGGTGCATGCAAAATTACTTAAGAAAGTAGGTTGGTTTTGGGTTTATTTTTATGCCCCTGCTGTTGCGGAGGGGGCATTAAGTTTTACCTTTGTCCGTCTGTACGTACGTCAGTAAGTACGAAAGTCCGTCCGTACGTACGTCCAAAGTTGGTTTCCGTTCTCTAACTTCAGTTTGCCTCAACCAAATGCTATGAAACTTATACACAATGCTTATTACCACATAATACAGATCATGATCGAAATTGGGTGGCGTCACTTTTACTGTTCTTGAGTTATGCCCCTTTATAAACATAAAAATTGCTGAATTTTTCGTTTCTGTTCCCTTACTTAAGTTAACAGCAACCAAATCTTATGAGACTTATACACAATACTTATTACCACAAAACTCAGATCAAGTACAAATTTGGGTAGCGTCACTTTTACCATTCTTCAGTTTTGTCCCTTTATAACTTTATATGATATGCAAGCGAGGGCATCATCTGTGTCCCATGGACACATTCCCCATTTATTTAAATTACTTTCTATATGCCCACATACTTTCAATGGAATAGCTCTGAGCTATTGCAGATATTTAGTATATGATCTAGGAAAAGTGACGTAAACAGTATTTTGGTTAAATTTCATTTGAAACTGTTTTTGCTGTCAATAAATAGGAATTAGAAAACATGTCTTTATTATTCCTACTGTTTTAGTGTTGTTTGGCTTGCAATTGGAAGAACAAAATATTTAAAGTTACATCCTAAGACCCTTTCCATAATTTTCAAACGAGAAAAAATACATATTTCAATTACTAAAACTTCAATGTTTGTAATTAAGATATGAAAACTTGTAGTATTATATTTATTTAGGCCTGAGCCACGCCACCTTCCAGAGAAACAGCAAGGTATTGCAACAACTAAAACTATGGAAGCTTTTCACTTTGTCAGTTATGTACCTATAAAAAATCATTTGTTTGAATTGGATGGACTCAAACCTTATCCAATAGATCATGGTAAGTTTTAAGGCTCTCATTTGTTATCTTTAGTATAAAAATGAAGTGATATGGTATGATTGCAAAGGAGATCACTATTCATCTGAAACCAAAGGAAGAGGATACAAACAACTATAGGGCACTGTACGATCTTTAACAATGAGCCAAACTCATACCATAAAAGGCCACGGATTGACAAAATGAGAAACAAATCTAAAAACAAAACCAATGGCCTGATTTATGCTAAAAAAAAAAAGCAAATAGGGCAGACAAAAACCAACAGCAACCACTGAATATAGAGCTTAACATGTTTGAAAGAGCTCAACCCTCCCCTAAACTAGGATAGTGCTGTTACAGCAAAAAAGAACAAGAACAAAATATAAAAATCAGATGACGAAGGCTCGACTCATCAGATCAGCAATAAGCACACACAAAAAAACAAAAAACTTTTACAAAATACAAAAAACACATGGTACCAATTTAAGAGTACTTACAGTTACTGAAAGCTAGTTTAAAGCAACTGAATATCAATTAATAGAGGTTATATCATTAATCACAGGACATTCAAAAGAAAGGATTTTTTCCTCACACAGGAAGTTGAAATTTAAAACTCATTTAAACCTTATTTTTTTTAGGTTCAGATGTGCCAGTCAAAGATTTCTTAAACTTTAAAGCAATAAATATCTGAAACTGTTACTAATTATTAAAGAACTTAATAGAAGCTATTTTATTGTAAAAAGCTAACTTTATTAGTGAAGCATTTGTTATTTTGATGTCAATGGTAAATGTCACATGATATATTTCTGTATATTTCTTCAGGGCCTTGGGAAAGGGATGAATACTGGACAGAGAAATTCAGACGTGTCATAACAGAAAGATTAGGAATGGCTGCTGGAGGGTAAGCTTTAGTAATGGTTACCTTGATTTTTCATAGCCTCTTTTAACATGAAATTTAGTACCCTCGTTAAAACTCAGTGGCTTTATCTGCACAGATAATTATTTTTTTATACGACCGCAAAAAAAATTTTGTGGTCGTATATTGGTATGACGTTGGCGTCGCCATCGTCGTTGTCGTCCGAAGACACATTGGTTTTCGCACTCTAACTTTAGTTTAAGTGAATGGATCTCTATGAAATTTTACCACAAGGTTCAATACCACACAAGGCAGGTTGGGATTGATTTTGGGGGTTATGGTACCAACAGTAAAGGAATTAGAGGCCGAAAGGGGCCAAAAATAAGCATTTTTGTAACTTCCAGACATAACTTGTGTGTTAGTGTATGGATCTCTCTGACATTGTACCACAAGGTTCCATATCACAAAAGGAATGCTGGGATTGATTTTGGGGGTAATTGCCTCAAAATTTTAGGAATTAGGGGCCAAAAAAGGGGCAAAAAACAAGCATTTTTCTAGTTTCATGACAATAACTTGTGTGTAAGTGTATGGATCTTTCTGAAATTGTACTACAAGGTTCCATATCACAAAGGGAAAGCTGGAATTGAGTTTGGGGGTAATTGCCGAAACGTTTAGGAATTGGGGGCCAAAAAGGGGCCAAAAATAAGCATTTTTCTAGTTTCCAGACAATAACTTGTGTTCAAGTGTATGGATCTCTCTGAAATTGTACTGCAATGTACCATACCACAAAGGGAATGCTGGGATTGATGATGGGGGTAATTGCCTCAATATTTTAGGAATTAGGGGCCAAAAAGGGGCAAAAAACAAGCATTTTTCTAGTTTCATGACAATAACTTGTGTGTAAGTGTATTGATCTTTCTGAAATTGTACTACAAGGTTCCATATCACAAAGGGAAAGCTGGAATTGAGTTTGGGGGTAATTGCCGAAACGTTTAGGAATTGGGGGCCAAAAAGGGGCCAAAAATAAGCATTTTTCTAGTTTCCAGACAATAACTTGTGTTCAAGTGTATGGATCTCTCTGAAATTGTACTGCAATGTACCATACCACAAAGGGAATGCTGGGATTGATGATGGGGGTAATTGCCTCAATATTTTAGGAATTAGGGGCCAAAAAGGGGCAAAAAACAAGCATTTTTCTAGTTTCAGGACAATAACTTGTGTGTAAGTGTATGGATCTTTCGGAAATTGTACTACAAGGTTCCATATCACAAAGGGAAAGCTGGGTTTGAGTTTGGGGGTAATTGCCCTAAACGTTTAGGAATTTGGGGCCAAAAAGGGGCCAAAAAACACATTTTTTCTAGTTTCCAGACAATACATTGTGTTCAAGTGTATGGATCTCTCTGAAATTGTACTGCAAGGTACCATACCACAAAGGGAAGGCTGGGATTGAGTTTGGGGGTGATGAATCATAAGGGGGTTCAAAAAATTGGGGGGGGGGGATTTTTTTTTTTCCTTTTTTTTCTTTTTTTCATTTTTTTTTTCTTTTAAAATTGTCCATTTTAAGTTGGTTATTTCTGATTTATATTTAAAAGCAAATAATAATGATATGGTAGGAGATACACACCAAACAGGATGTGTAAATTTTTATATAATAAGTATTGTGCAATAGCAAGAAATTTTCAATTGCACAGTATTGCACAATAGCAAGAAATCTTCAATTGCACAGTATTGAGCAATAGCAAGAAATCTTCAATTGCACAGTATTGCGCAATAGCAAGAAATATCCAATAGCAAGAAATATCCAATAGCACAATATTGCGCAATAGCAAGAAATTGTCAATTGTACAGTATTGCGCAATAGCAAGAAATATTCAATTGCACAGTATTGTGCAAAAGAAGATACTTCGTATAAATTGCTTATTTATTGACCAATTTCTATGGGGTTTTTTTTTGAATTCTTGGGGTTCTTTAATATGCTGAATCTAACCGTGTATTAAGTTTTTGGATTTTGGGCCCCGTTTTTAAATTGGTCCACATTGAGGTCCAAAGGGTCAAAAATTAAACTTTGTTTGATTTCATCAAAAATTGAATTATTGGGGTTCTTTGATATGCCGAATCTAACCGTGTATTTAGATTCTTAATTTTTGGTTCCGTTTTCAAATTGGTCTACATTAAGGTCCAAAGGGTCCAAAATTAAACTTAGTTTGATTTTAACAAAAATTGAATTCTTAGGGCTCTTTGATATGCTGAATCTAAACATGTATTTAGATTTTTGATTATGTGCCCAGTTTTCAAGTTGGTCCAAATCGGGGTCCAAAATAAAACTTTGTTTGATTTCAACAAAAATTGAATATATGGGGTTCTTTGATATGCTGAATCTAACCATGTATTTAGATTTTTGATTTTTGGGCCCCGTTATCAACTTTGTCCACATTGAGGTCAAAAGGGTCCAAAATTAAACTTTGTTTGATTTCATCAAAAATTGAATTCTTGGGGTTCTTTGATATGCTGAATCTAACCATGTATTTAGATTTTGGATATTGGACCATAATAGGTGAATGTCCAATATAAAATTTTTAAGTTCTTAGACCACATTCATTCTGTGTCAGAAACCTATGCTGTGTCAAATATTTAATCACAATCCAAATGCAAAGCTGTATCAAGCTTGAATGTTGTGTCCATACTTGCCCCGACTGTTCAGGGTTTCGACCTTTGCGGTCGTATCAAGCTGCGCCCTACGGAGCATTTTATTATATCATATTATAAAGTATTTTGACATTTGTTTTCGTGTGTCTTCTCTTTATATTTCAAACATGATTGATGTTAGAATATACTAAATAAATCAATTTTGAAATATTACTTTCCCCTACTAGAATTTTTACACACAAATTCAATATCTTGTAATTTTGCAAAGCATAGATATTTCATACAAGTTATAATATAATTAATCTGCTCTGTATTTCAGTGAACCTAACAACGATATCAGATTTAACTTAATGGCAGTGGTGCCTGACAAATGTCAACTGTATGAACACAAGTTAGCAACCCTGAAAACAAACAGACAAATTGTATTGGAAACATTACAACAGGTAGGGTTGGATATTTTAACAGAAAAGAAAGGTGGAATAGGACATGTTGAATTCACTTTGAAACTACAGCTTAAATGGATTTTATCATTCCCACCTGTCCACCATGTGAAGCGTACTCCATCCCACTCAAATTCAAACTCAGTTTTTATACGACCGCAAAAAATTTGGTTTCCGGACAATAACTTTAGTATTAGTGAATAGAAATCTATCAAATTTAAACATAAGGTTTATAACCACAAAAGGAAGGTTGGGATTGATTTTGGGGGTTATGGTCCCAACAGTTTAGGAATTAGGGGCCAAAAAGGGCCCAAATAAGCATTTTTCTAGTTTCATGACAATAACTTGTGGAACAGTGTATGGATCTCTCTGAAATTATACCACAAGTTTCCATACCACAAAGGGATGGTTAGGATTGGCTTTGGGGGGTTATGTCTCAAACCGTTTAGGAATTAGGGGCAAAAAAATGAGAAAAAACAATGGTGTCCTGGTTAATGGACAATTACTTGGGTACAAATTACAGTGTTAGGGAGGTAATTCAAAGTTTTACCTCCCTTACACTGCTTTTAAATTATGTATACCGGTAAAGAATTTTTGTATTGTCTTGAGGTGATTAGCTGTCAATTCCTTTTTAGAAGTTACTATTTTAATAATTTTAAAAATGCTGATTAAGGTAAATTAATTTTAGCTATGATTATGTATGTCATTTTCTATTTTAAGACTTTTATGATGTATTTAAATGGGTTATTATGGTTGCAAACTCCATTAGAAATTTGAATTGAAATTATGACCATGACTGAGGGAAATAAATTTTTTTTTTTTTTGGAAAAAAGGGGGGGTGGGGGGGACAATTTCTTCTCAAGATTTCAGAAATCAGAAAGGAAATTCTTCAAATTTTTTTTTTTTTTGAAAAAAAGGGGAGGGAGAGGTCAATTCGCAACAGCATAGTGTATTGCACAAAAGCAAAAAATTGAATATAAATTCAAATCATATAACCAATTCTAAGTTCTTTGACTACAGTTATTCTGTGTCAGAAACCTATTATGTGTCAAATATTGAATTACAATCCAAATTCAGACCTGTATCAAGTGCGAATATTGTGTCCATTTTTGCCCCAACTGTTCAGGGTTGGACCTCTGGGGTCGTATCCAGTTGTGCTAGGAGAAGCAATTTATTGTAAAATTATTAAATAGATAAAGCTAAACCTATTTTTCAAAGTTAATGTATGTGCAAGTCTGATAATGAAAGAAAAGAAATGGAATGTCCACTTTATAGGATGGTCATGATCACAGGGAAGCATCTTGAAATTTTGCCAAAAATGTACCCACTCTAAATTTCGACAGATAAAAATGATAAAGTCCACACAAGTTGTATTGTATTTTTAATGTTTTTAGTAATTAATGAATGAGCTTTAGTTTCTGAAATATATTTGCTTGTTTTATTAGAGGAATGGGTGTTTTGGAAAAGATTTACTTTTTGTTTATAAAATTGCAAACTTGCTGAGCTGTGATATATAATTTTGAGCAGGAAAATATCAGGCAAAGATGAGCATGGGAATTTGTTTTACTGAGCTTTCCAAAGTTACATAATTAGAGATTATCAAGGAATCTATGGAAAAAAACATACAAGTGATTTCAATTTTCAGTAACTGAATGTTTTTTTTTAATTGGTAGAAGGGAAATAACTCATAAAATTTAAAATAAATGATTTATTGCTGGCTGACAGGAATATGAAATGTATGTACATCAGATAGATTGATTTACTTTCACTTTCTCCTTTTTAAGCTGCTGGATGCCAAGGTATATCTCCTCTGTATTTTATTGTCGTGTTATATTTTTATTTTCTTATAAATTTTTATATTCAGACAAAAATACTTGTGCTTTTCCTGTTGTTTATGTTTAGTATTCTTTTCATATAGACAGATTCATTTTGTGCAGTAAGCAACCCCAAACTGAGTATAACGTGTGATGAAGAACAGCAATACAAGAGCTGTTCCTTTGTTTTTGGTTATTTTCATGTGCGCGTAGTGATTTTATGTCATGCATTTTTACACCATATCCTTTCTTTTCTGTTAAGAGAAAGTCAGAAATTGATGAACTTCGTACTATTATTTGCTTTCAATGTATATTAATAATAAGGTGTGGGTTGTACACAAATGAGACAGCTACCCCATAACACAAAAAAAAACTAAAAAGGTAAGACATCTTGATATTAAACATATTATCATTTATAAACTTGTCAATTTTAAAACTGAAAAATGGTTTCTCCCAAATGAAAACTCTTAATAATTCAAATGTGCAATAATTTCCCCTATTGATAATAATAATACCTTCTTTTCCACTAATAAAACAATATTTGGATGATAATTGCTTAGTGTTCGGTTACATGAATATTCAGAACAAGAAATTGTTGAATAAGAATAGATAAATAGAAAATAAGGTTACAACATATTAATGTGTATTTAATATTTGATCAGCATTAAATATTAGATGCCATCGTTTGGTGTTAAAAGTACAAAAGGTACAGATTGAGCGATATTTGTCATCTAGCAAAGAAAGTTGCTTAAACCTGTGCTAGTGTTTGCAATAAGAAAGCATTTAAATTTTCGATTTCTACTTGTAAAAGTTACTTTTCTATATTCCGTGTAAAAAAACTAACATGCTCCAGGGAAAAAACAATATAAATGATAATTTTATATGTGAATGTATACAATATATGTGTAGTACTGATTTTAGTACCATGCATGTTTTTCAACAAACAAGACATCTTGAACTTAAAGTATGATGAGAGGCCTCACTGTCTTTTGACAGCCAAAAAAGCGCTGTTCCATTGCTTTTGGTTTTTATGCCTCGGCCACTAGACGAAGGGGGCATTAAGGTTTACCCTTGTCTGTCTGTTCATCCTGAAATTGGTTTCTATTCTCTAACTTTAGTTTGCCTCAACCAAATGTTATGAAAATTATGCAGAATGCTTATTAGCACCAAACAGATCAAGTTTGAATTACGGTGGTGTCACTTTCACTGTTCTCTTGTTATGTCCCTTTATAAATAAAAAAATTGCTGAATTTGCCGTACATTTACAAGCTGGTGTATATGTGTTCCATGGACACATTCTTCTTTTATTTTCTATCATATGCACATAGTGATTTTTGGTCATAAATTATTTCACCATATCCTTTCTTTTCTATTAAAAGAAACAGTGAAAAAATGCTCTTTAGACATAGAATTTTAGCTGATGATCACTTTTCACTACAGATCTTTGAAGTGTGAATGCTTAGTCATATTGTATTTTGTTTGTTTCATTTATTTTAAAATTTGTATTTTTCATTGCACCTAGTGGATTTCAGCTTCTTCAAAATAGAAAAAAGACACATTAAGATTCATTGATTTGAAGCATAAAAAGAATACATATACATGTATTAAAGAATACATGTACATGTATTATGATATTCTGACTTTACTTTTTTGGGAAAATCTTTTTCCAACCAGTGAAATCTTTGAAGAGAAATGACCTAATGTGATTAAGCATAATTCACATGAATTTAAAACTTCTTGATAATTATTATAATTAACTTTATATGAGCAAACTATTTTTTCTTTTGTTTACAGGGATCACTAATTGTTGTTTCACATTACTGTTGTCATACAAGTGGTGGGCATTAAATTTTATTCTCTTATCTGCAACTCCTCTGAAACTATATGCAAAGGAAAACTAACTGTAACGAAACATGAAAATCATATTTGATTAAGTGATATGAATATATTATTCTCAACTTATGTGAAACTGATCAACAGAAACCATCTGAACTTCAACATAATTTTGATGAGAGTTGGAAGTTATATAACATCTATGTAATTGTTGATAATTGATTTATTGTTATTTCCTTGTGGAAATAATATTGATATTTGTATTGTTCCTACAAGGTGTCATCTCATGTATCTATTATTCTTGTTTAGCAATGTCAATTTACAGAAATTCATTTTTTTTCAAGATGGAAAGTATTGCACCTATTTTTCACCAAGATTTTTTGTGTTTTGGGGTTTCCTCAGCCAAATCAATTACTATCTATCATCATGTCATAAGCTCAGCTTTTCTTGTTAGCAGTCATTAGAAAAAAAAGACACATTAAGATTCATTGATTTTCTACATTTGTAACACAGAATGTGACAGAAGTGTGCAATTTTAAGAAAAGCTGTTGCTGGCAATTTATTTGTATGTAATCCACGAAAGACTCACATTTAAGTCTTGTTGAAATATTGAATCAAAACATTGAATTTTGTGAAATGAATATTTTAAAAATGGAATTTTACATCATTTTTCACCTATGATCATTATTAAGTTAATTAATAAGTTTTCTAGTTGTATTATATATCAAATTAATTTTTCATACAACTCACAAAATCTTACCAACAGTCAATATCACAATGTTACTAGGTATATTTTTCATTTAAAGTAAGCTGTGTTCTTCTGAAAACAAGGTATTATTTGAATCTGGAATAATTTTGAATTCTAGAAAATTGATAAATCTATGACAAAAACTAACCAAATTTAGGAGGGTTAGCCATTCATGCATGGCTATGGGGGTTAGTTAGTTCATTCTGAAATATCAGTGAAAGTAAAGTTAACCTTAGCCATGCACATGGCTAACCCTATTTAGTTTGGTTTGTTTTTATCATACATTTCTTATCAATTTTCCAATAATTTGAAAGTGATATTGATATGACAATAGCACCCAAACTAATGTATTTGAAATTTTCATACTAAATGAACAGGTCATTCAATATATTCCATATAAATATATCGATTGTTGTTGCTGCAGCTTCTTTTTTTCAGCAATTATAAATTACAGAAAAAAGATGCATAAATGGGATAAAAGTATTGTCAGCTTTTTTGTATAAAATATTTGTTTTGTTACTTATTATTAATATGAAAGTTACTAAATTTTTTTTTATCTTTGTGCGCAAAATTAATCTAGGAATTGAAAAACTGTATTTATTTTGCAATACACACTATGTATGTCTTTGCTGAATAATAACTGTCTGTTAAAATAGATATTTAAGTGTATAGAGGCTTAATTTCTTTGTCAGCAGATTTAATATTTAAACTGTTTTGAGTAATCATGGTAATTTAGTTTTCTTTGATACACAATTATCTAGAATTGTCTTCTTTTTGTATAGCTGTTTTATTTGTTATTCGATAGATCCACTCAAATTAAAAATTTTCAAAATTTTGATTTTGGTGAAGTCAAGTGCATATGTTGTGATGAGACATAAACATTAGTCCATTTCATTAAAATTACAAGTCATTAAGGTTATTTTTACGGAGTTTATTGATGTGTAAACTCAGCCTTTCAATCAACACTTATAGAACACTATTTTTCCTGTATAGGCATTTATATTCCTTACATCATGAAACAGTTTTGAAAATATATATACAGTTTTTTTTGGTATCATCTCGCTGATCAATAACATACATTAAAATATTGGAATTTTATCGCGAAGCTTCAGTGGCATGGGTTTATTGATTCAAAGGACAGAACCCCTTACAAATATTAGTTCAAGCATGAACTATTTCAAGAAGTTTATTATTATACATTATCAAAGACTTTCAGGCATGTTTACACAAATTTCATGACAATGATATTTTTCAGATGGTCAAGGTAACTAATCCAGGACTTACATCTTCTGATAAAGACAAATATCTAGCTGCCGTCAAACAGCATGAAAAGATGGAAGAAGCTCTGATAGCCCAGGCTCAAGAGGATGCTGCAGCGAAATCAGCCGCAAAACAAAACATAGCGGAAAAATCTCTGAGTAATATGACAAATAGCGATCAATCACAGTCCAGTGAGACATCTCAAGATGGAAGTATGATAAATATTACTGAATCTCATGACTCGGATAACAATACGACTGTACAAGAAAATTCTACGTCAGAATCTAAAATAGTGCCAATGGATGATGACAGTAAAGTCGTCAATATTTCAGAAAACAGTGAAGACATTATAATCGATGTTGATTCCATGGAAACAGATTCAGATAAAAAAGACAATGAGAAATTGTCTGAAACAATTGAAAATATAAAGAAAGATAATTCTGATAGTAAAATTGATGTAGAATCGAAATCTGATGGTTCTGTTGAAAATAAATCTGAAAGTGTTTCTTTAACATCTGCTTATACACAATCTATTGAAGAACCTCCTGTTTTTTTAAGCAATAAAGAATCTCTTGAAGGAATACAAGTTACAAGTAGTGATGATAAAAATGTGAAAATTCAGATCTCTGTTGACAATGGGGATAGTGGGAAGGGCGTTACAATTCCACGTTCAGTAGCATCAACAGATGTTACAAAACCATTGACTATAGAAACAAAGTTTGGAGGTCCGTCTGGACCCAGTAGTGAGAGTACAGACACTGCTTCAGAAGGAGGGAGTTGTTTTAGTTCACCAAATACAAATTCATGTCAGAACAGCCCCCAGTGTAGTAATGGGGAAAGTACAGGTAGGAAATTCTAATATGAAAAAAATCTTTTTGACGAAAAGGTATGATAACCATGTCTTCTACTCTGTATTGAACTTTGAGTTGGTGCAAGGTCAAATTTTAAAATTCTGATGACATGCATTGAACATTACAAATTTGAGAAATGAAATGGCTGAAATAATTATAAAAAATATATATCATCCAAGGTCTCACGAGAAATATTTAACTAACTTCTGAACCACAACTAACTTGTTATTTGCTTTTAAAAATGGTACTACATATTCAAATTTGAAAACTTGTTTGATCAATAAAGCAAATGATTGATGAACATTATATGAAAACCTTATGCAATTTTTATTTCTTGAAACAGCATGAACAAGGGCTGATAAAAAAGTCACAAAAATTTATGATGGTTATTAAAAAAATTATTTGAAGGTATTAAAGATTTTGCATGAATTTCATATAGTAGCAAACTTTATGTAGGTTGATTAGTAAATCAAGTATGACTTTTAAACTATAGAATCATTGCAGTTACTACAATCTGAACTTTTTTTGTTAAAACTGGTATGGAAGAAATGTTTTATTAGCCAAAAAATGTGTACAAAATGAGTTTGACAGTAAATTTATACCAAATGATATAAAAACACTGGTTTGGCTTATTTGTCAAAATTTTGATTTTTCTCTAAATTTCAGTGATCTGTTTTTATAGTTTAAAAAGTACAGATGCTTCATTTATTCTTTAATTTTATACTAAGGTTTCTTGTACAAAAAATATCTCATAAAATACCGATAACAATCATAGCGTAAACATGCTTAAAGAATATACACACAATATACAAACACACAAATATACAAAAACTTGTAATCAGTTGGTATTTATAGTAGTGTCTTTAGAAAAGAAACAAATCATAAAATTGAAATTCACATTCCATTGCTAATATATTTTTAGACATGAAAAAAGATACCTTACCAGACAGAAGGTCAGAGGGAAGATCTACAGATTCTAGTCATCATCATAAACATAAAAGAAAATTTCATAGTCATCAAGCTTTTACACCAAAGGTAAGATATGAGGCTTTACTGTACATTTGTACATGTTAATTTAGGAAAGGTAAGATATGAGGCTTTACTGTACATTTGTACATGTTAATTTAGGAAAGTTAAGATATGAGGCTTTACTGTACATTTGTACAATGTTAATTTAGTTTTATTATTACAGGAAATTAAAGTACACCTCAGACTTTTTAAAGCAATTGAGGCTGTTCCTTTTAAACATACATGGGAGGGGGAGGCACTTTGAAATTCAGACAGCCACCAGTAGATACAATTTACCTTTTGAGTCAATCAAACTTCTCGCTGTGTTGAAGACCCATTGGTGGCATTCAGCTGTTTTCTGCTCTTTGGTTGGGTTGTTGTCTCTTTGACACATTCCCCATTTCCATTCTCAATTTTATTCATCACATTTTGGTTGAATGAGAATATCTAGACATTTCTGCAAACTACTGGATTAAGTACTGCTATCATAGCTGTTATAGACCAAAGATCCTTAAAGAAGATGACGTGGATATATTTGATTAAAAGCTTTTCTTAATGTTAACTTAGACAGACTATGTCATTAAAAAACATTAAGGTATGGTATTTTGTGCTTTTTGAAAAACAGTACCCTAAAAGTGTTTGCTGAATAATATACATATTAGTCCACTTTACTGATAATAAACTCCCTTCTTTTCAATAGAAAGTGAAAATTAAATTGTTTGCAGATTAGTTTCTGATCCCTCCAACATTTATTTGGACAAATATTAAATGTTATTAAACTTTTAAAGAATATTTTTGAAATCTTGCAGTGGAAATTTAGCCATCAATAGTCAGTGTCTTTTATTTTAGGATTTGTTAGCTCTTCTCAAGAATGTAGAAAATGAGATAAAGTTATGTGAAGTTAATTTGAAAGATGAATTAGAAAAAAGAAAGAAATATAGGGTAAGCTTGTATTATAGTATAGTATGAATTGTGGTTTAATATGTTTGAATATTTTTTTCATTGCAATTTTTTTCGTAAAGCATCTGATATTTCTTTTTTTTTGGGGGGGGGGGGGGAGGGGGGATATTTTATTTCAGAATTGTTTTGTTGGCAATGTTGTCTAATGAAATAGACATTTGTTCGCTAAAAGATAGATAAATGTAGAATTTGATATGTAGCAAAATTCCAAGTTTTCTTTCAATTTCATTACAACATGTTGGATTCTACATGTATATGACAAGTTTTACTAAAATTTTAGCATATTGACAAGATTTTGTTGCAAATTGTAATCTGAGCAAAAACCTTCAGACAAAAAAATATATTAGATAGGCTCTGGTAAAGTATTTAAATTATAATCAGGACACAAAAACATTTATAATCGACATTATAGATACTGTAAATTCTGAAATTATTGCGAGGTTTTATTAATGCGAATAATGCAACTGGATGAGTATTGCAATAATAAGAACTTAAATTCTTATGTCTGATACATATAACTGTATGCAGATTTTTCTGAAATCGCAATAGATAATCTCGCATTTTAGTTTCTTTCTACAAATTCTGCAATAATAAATGCAATAATTTCTGAATTTACAGTATATGTTTTATATTTTTAAATCACTCTTTCAAATTTTACTGAGAGGATTAAATACTGAAATTAAAAATTTCAGGTATTTTTTATGAGATAATATTATTTCTCTAATACCTTGTCAATTTAACCATCCGTTAAAAAAAATATCCTTTACTTACAGATAGATGACTGTAGAAGAACACATAACTATGATGAATTTATCTGTACATTCTTATCAATGTTAGCCAAAGAAGGACATTTAGCAAATCTTATTGACCAACAGATGTCAGTCAAGAAGAGACACAATAGTGGCAATGCAGGCCGCCCAACAAAGCATTCATTACCTGTCAAAGGATCTCGACCAAAACCAAAGCGACGAAGATGATAATTGTTAAATTTTGAACATGATGTAATTTTTGATTTATATGACAGTAATTGATGTAATATTGTTTGAAAGTAATGAGAACATGGCTTATTAACTTTGTTTGCAGCTCTAACAATAGACTTGTTTAAGCATGCTTTTTTCCTACATTCATGTTATTACAGTTTTGCAATGAACTACGCTAGAAGTAATAAAAATTGCTCAATGAAATTTCTTTAGACCTTAGAATCAACATTTGAGGAAACCCTGGAGTCCACTTAAGCCTAAAAAGTTCATGTGGATGATTGTCATCCAGTCTGTCACTGTCATCCAACATCAGTCACTTTTTATTCTCCTAGCATTTGCCTTTAAACCACAGGACAAATCTGTATTGGAAAAATCTGTATCTGTAGTTCTTTTTCAAAATGATGTTTATTAGCCATGACCATTCTCCATTGAATAGAATGAGAGAAAAATTAGTGGCATAAATGATTTTATGCTTATGACTGTATGGTTAGATACTATAGTAATACGATGCCAGATTTTTCTGCAACACTTTTAACACTGATTTATGTACTTGTTTATGTAGATCATTTTCATGGTCAATTTCTAAATGATGAATCTTTAACAATATTGCAGCGGATTACTTCATATTTACATAAAAGATATAAGACTATAGCCAGGAATCTCTGCAATGGTTGTGTGTAGTTATTTCATAATTTTGTTTGTCCTTTGGGTGGTGATTGTAGATCTATGGTGGCCTCTGTCAAATTTATTCACAAATTTTCTCAACTCAATGTGATTTAGAGCTTGACATATTGTGAAGACATGCATCTATTATTGAAGACCATATATTGATCTCTAGATGTAATGGGCTTTTGTATTGTAAGTTTACTTTCTCATTTACTTTTACCCCACATTTCATTGTGTTTATTATCTTAGCTTGTGGCTGAAATCTTGATTGTCTGATAGACATGTTTACAAAAAAAAATTACAAATAATAAACAATTCTAAATTTGCAATAGATATGTTATGTTTTTTTCATGAAATGTTTTGAAAAGTTGCATTATTTTTGTCATGTATTATAAAATTCCGTTAAAATATTGAATACAATAGCTTTTCTTATTTTCCCAAGGTATTGTATTATCAATTCTTATCAGAAAAAAATAAATAGTATGTTGTCTATAGGGAAAGCTCGGTGGACATCTAAAAGTTTTCGCATTTCCAACATGGACGGGAGTGTAATGACAAAATCCAGGTAAACTGTTGTGTATTTACTTTCAAGTGTTCGAAGAACAACAAGGTCAATGTTTTCTTGTTTTCTAGGGGTCTTAATCCAGTTAGTCCTATATACACACTCAAGTACTCATTATTATTAAAGGATTATTTTGTCATTGTAGAAATTTAGTCTATGTAGAAAATATTTACCAGTAGATGTGTTTAGATATTTTTATTAAGAAATGAAATTTTTGATTAATTTCCAACTATTACAGAAGTAAAAAGTCAGTCTAATTAGCATTTATTTTATACAGTCAGCATTTATTTATATTCAATATTCTGTTGTATATTATGTGTATTTTAAAAATAGAGTGCAGTTATTTGATGAACAACAACACAATATATTTTGTACAAAAAACCATTGAAAAGATGCAAATGGTGACATATGATAAATTCAAGTACATTGTACGTTCAAATAAATAAAATGCTCATGCAAATGTGCATTATGAGGCAATTGGTTTTCTTTTGAATTGTTTCACATTTTTCATGTCAGGGGCTTTCATGGCTAATACTATATGATATGGGTTTTGCTCATTGTTGAAGACTGTACCGTTGTTTACATCCTCACCCTTTAGTCTCTGGTGGATAGATGCCTCATTGGAAATCATACCACATCACCTTTTTGTCTTGCCTTGACAGAGTCAAAAAGCGAGACAAAGGTATGCTGTTTCTGGCAGCGCGGCTGCGTCAAAAATGTATTAGTTTGAGATTAGGTCTAGTTTATGGTGAAGCACTAGTGGTAGGTCTATGATATTTGGTATGCAGTTGTATTAGTATTGGCACATTTCATTTACATGGAGATTATATGACACCGCCACCTCAATCATGGTCTATTGACTTTGAAACTTTTGCTTAGTTTACATGTATTAGTTTGTGATTAGGTCAGTTTATGGGGAACCACTAGTGGTAGGTCAATGATATTTGGTATGCAGTTGTATAAGCATTGGCATATATTATTTCCATGGAGATTATTTGGGCCTCGCTCCCTCAATCATGGTCTATTGACTTTGAAACTTTTGCTTAGTTTACATGTATTAGTTTGTGATTAGATCAGTTAAAGAGGAACCATAAGTGGTAGGTCAGTAATAATTGTTATGCAGTTGTATAAGCATTAGTACATCTCATTTCCATAGAGAATATTTAGTCTTTACCCTTCAGTCATGGTCTATTGACTTTGAAACTTTGCTTAGTTTACATGTATTAGTTTGTGATTAATTCAGTTTAAGATGAACCACTAATGTTAAGTCAATGATATTTGGTAATCAAATGAAGTCTCATTTCCATGAAGATTATATAGCCCCATACCCTCATCATGGTTCATTGACTTTGAAACTTTGACCTAGTTTACATGTTAATGTTTGTGTTTAGGTTTGTTTAAAAGGAACGACTTATGATAAGTCAATGGTATTTTGTATGCTTGTATTGGCATTGGCACATCTCATTTCCATGGCGATTGTTTTGCCCTGTACCTTCAGTCATGGTTCATTGACTTTGAATATGCATAGTTTACATGTTAAAGTATTGCCATTTTAATTTCAACATTTGCATTATCAAAATAACAAAAAGGCAAGACATATCTCTGTGTTAACAGTTTTTTTTATAACACAAGAGATTTTTTTTTTGTTAACTTGGATCATATTTTTGTATTTCTATCACAATACTTTGTTGTTACAAAATCTCCTACAAGTTTCTTAGAAACAATGAAACTCGACAGATTAATTTTGACCCATTTTTAATTGTGGTTCTTTTATTGTGGTATCCCCTAGAAAAAGAAAACATGGAAATTGTCATTTTTATATATGGGATGTTTGATAGTGCAAAATCTCCTAGATAAGATACAAATAGGATGAAAATAGACAGAATTAGTTCATATCATGTTGTTTAGCAGCTCTCATTTTTGTTCAGATTGATTTACTAGTCTCCCATAGAACATGGACTTTGCAATTTATACATATGGTCAAGTTTAACACTGAAAACATTTGCCTTTTAAATTGGAAAGGAACAAAATTTGACAGAATTACTTCATGCAGTTGTGCACTTATGCAAGTTATTTTGTATCAGTTATTTTGTTTGGGGTTTCCTTTAGCAAAACATGGACTTTCATTTGACAAAATTTGCAGATGTGTATTTTTAGAATAGCCTGTTTAACATCCTATTATACAATTGCTGATATGTGGCTATTTGCTGAATTGCAAAGTTCTCTAGTTGTTATGAGAAATGTACTGTGTGCTTACCTTTAATTCACTGCCATACTTGTGTGAATTAAATCATAATTCATTTTTTGTGGTTCAATTATATCTGTGATCATTATAAATGAAATGTTACATGCTAAAACAATTTCATGTTTATCATAGCTGTTGAATAAATTACTCATATGAATTAAAAACTTGAGAAAAAAGGCTATATTAAGTAATTTTGTAATTCATGAGCAAATGGATAACACTTGTTGGATTAATGAAAGATGTTAATAAATATGACTATGTGCTAAAGAGATAAATAAAATGTTTTAATTTTGACTTCCTGCTTTTAATCAATTCATAATTAATAAGATGTCTTTTGTGTTTTATTTATACCCCTAAAGAAGTTGGGTTCCACACTTGTCACTTGGTGTGTTCATATGACGATATTTTTATTGCATTTTTCTAGAACTACAAACCAGAGCTTTCTTGGGGTATTTTATATTGTGTGATGCTTTTTCACATTCATCCCTCACCAACTTTCTGTTTACCCACGCATACTTATTGTATATTCTTACACATAACACATGCATAATGACCATTAATGAAATATTCTTATAATAAACTATGAATCAGGGCACCCTGTAATTTGGTATCAACATTCATGTGAGCATGCTATGCTGTGTGATCTGTTTTCACATTCATTGCTCTCAAAATTTCTGTTTACTGAATACTTATAGTGGAAGTATCAATAGTGAACAGTAACTCACAGTTCAACTTGTTCTATCTATTTAGGTTTCTGTCTCATAAAAAACATACACCACATCTCCTTTTATACATGCAACAGTTAATCTTATATTCATTTATAAAAATGTCTGGATTTCATACAAGGAACTAAAACCCAGGAATTTTCTTTCATCTCCCCTTTGAAAGATGAATGTTGCTCAAGGCCGTACATTTGTTGCTGATTGACTAGAGATTAGTATCTAATCATTTATTACTACCTAGTAAAAAGATCCATTGGAAAAAAACTGATTGACCTCATTTTCTTGGTTTTTCAGTGTACATCATGAACTGTACATGTTAACCAGTTTTGGTTACTTGTTATCTTACTTTAATGTAATCCACTTCTATTTTTAAAAATTTAGGTAGTAAAACAAAATATCCTCTGGTAAAACTTTATTTGATCTAAGTTTAGTCATCTGCAGTGAATATGTCAAGTAAAAAATTCAAGATTAATCTATTCTAACAATCCAATATCCATGACACATTTACAATATATGGAATTATTGTTCAGTATGTCTGACCTTGCCTCATTTTCATGCAGGAGTAGTCTGTTTAGATGATGATGATGATGGATGGCTGCTTAACGTCCAGCAGCAAATTAATATGCATATTGAGGAAGAGAACATGTTAGATTTTGAGATTCTGTATGTTTCTCCTGTATTATGCATTATGGGTCAACAATATCTAGAGATGTGAACTCTATATGTAGTTTATGTGATTTTAATATATATTTCATTTGACCTTGACCTCATTTTCATATTTCACTGAGAAAGTTTTTAGCTTCCGTCCGATTTAAGATTCATGATATACATTCATATTTTTTTTCTGTTGTAATTGAGATTTTTTGGTGTTACAACTCATGTTTCAGTAAAGGCAGTGATATTGGTTTGAAGGCCAAATCATATATCAGGCCATTGGTATTCTTTTTTGAATTTATTTTACATTTTGTCATCAAGAGGCCTTTGATAGCTTACTATAGCTGGTATGGGTTGTGATCATTGTTGAAGGCGGTACGGTCAGCTATAATTGCTTAAATTCACGTCATTTTGTCTCTAGTGGATAGTTCACATATTAAGAATCGTACCACATTTCCTTATCTTTAAAACCTACTTTGCTGAATTTGATTTTTTTCTTCAAAAAATGAAATTATGTGGAACAAATTAACATCATTTAATGGTAGTAATTCTCTCTGTCACTCTAATCATATACAGAGACAAATTATGTTTTCATGGAAATGTAATTTAACATACACCAAACAGTGGATGTATCTGCCAATACCATGACACAAGATTTTATGATTGCTGAAAATGTCTAAATTACAAAAGCTGCATACAATGCTTTGTATTTTGCATCTATGATGATATGAATAATGAGATGTTGTTTTTTTTTGGTTTCTTTTTAATCTGAGATTGATCTGTGGCGGTCTTTTTGTCTTTGACATTACAAAGTACAAGGCCTATTCAATCAGGGTTTAAACCATGAATAAAGTTTTGATGAAGAAAATACAGATATATATATCTTCAGTTATTAATGATTTATCACCTTTCAACTCTTTGTCTTTAGTATTATATGTCTGAGGAGTACAAATTTTTGATAATAATCCATGGATTTCAAGAAGCTTTTATTTTTTGCATTTGAAAATGAGGCTAGTAAACAAAAATACTACAAAAAAGAGTTTTATTTCAATATCAACATGTTTACTTGAAATGAATAGCTAACGGCAATGAAATTAAATACATGTATATATAGTCTAGCACTTTGTTCCTTTATATGTTGATTACACGACTCAGTTTCTGTACTCTGTTTAGTAAAATGTCTCCCTGTTTGATAGTAGCCTAAAAAAGAAGAAATAATTCATTATAAAGTATTTTACTGATGAAAATTAGTATCAATCGACTCATATAACATATAACATTACAGACAGCCTGTAGCATGTGTAGGTACAAACAATTTTGTATGACCTTATCAACTTCATAGACAGTAAGATTGATGTCAATGTTAAAGTTAATAGCTTTTCATTTGACTTTTCATATAGTTTTTGTATTTTTGTACAATTTTAAATCTATATGAATTTCACAGGGTGCAAGGGAAGAAATTGTCTAATCCTTAAATATATAGATTTAAAATTTTGCAAAAAGTACAAAGTCTGATCTAAAATATTACCTGGTATTGCCAGTTTTTACTGTCAGGTCTGTTAGTCTCAACAATGCCTTTTACCTTGTCAATTTTACAATGGAGTCTGCCTGCTGCAATAAACCTTGATAATTCCCTAGAAAGCAAAAATATTTTAATAAATGAACAATCTTTAAAAAACAAACATATTCTGTTAATAAATGAATAATACATTTATAAAAATATAATATTTCTAAATAAAAAAAGTAATATTTTTTTTGAAAAAGACAAGACAAGGGGAATATTGCATGAATTTGTGACTTAAAATTGTATGATGTCCATTAAGAATTGGCAAACCGCTATGAAGAGCAAGTTCTATGGTTACACTGGATTCCATTGACCAGTGAACAATCTGCTAAATGATGACAGGTTATCAAAAGTGTAGATTTTCAAAAGTTATGACTGGAACAGTTACTCCATAACTGAATACAATTGAAATTTACAACTACTAATCCAGTAGTCTACATTTTATGAGGCCTTTAAGATTGATATCTATCTGGTATAGGACTTTTTAATTGTATAGTTTATCTAAAGACTATGATAACTGCAAAGTCAAATAAGTTGGGTGTATATTATCTCATTTGTCTCCTGATGAATTCTTCATACATATTTGTGATACATATTAGGACAATGGTTTTTACCAAATTAAAAAAAAAAATCATTAATTCAGTCTTAAAATATACCAATAAGAAGTTATTATTGGTATGTTTGGAAATTAAATCATTAAAATCAAATTATTTCTGATCTTTAATCTATTAACTTCCCTCATATGGGTGGCATTATGTGTGAAACTACTGCATAAATATTGATGAAGTACTTGTTTTCTTTACAAAAGTTAATATTGCCAAGATGAATTTTCAATCCTTGACAAGTTACAATTGTAAAAGAAGATTTCTTGCTCATACTTACTGATCAACAAATTCAATAGTGACACCAAATGCAGTAGCCATATACTGTAATGTTAAACTTCTATAAGATTCCAATAATTGTGTATATGTCATTATTCTCATTTCTCTGGCATAGTACTTATAATGTGGAGCTAACAATCTGTCATATTTCATTATGTCTTCTACTTCAGCTGAAAATGTAAAGATATTGATGTCTTGCTTATTCTAAATAGTACCAATTTTCATTTACAGGATAAAATTGCAAGTAGTTTCTGTGAGATTTCAGATTTTTTTCATTTATAATAAACATGATAAACTAGAACTGCCCTTTCCTCTAAGATTTTTTTTCAGTTATTTGTGTCGACACAAAAAGTAATTATTAATGTTGACAGAAGTAAGTGAACTTTTCTGTCACTTTCAATTGTTTTATTCTGTTGGTAATGGATGCAATTTTGTCAGCACTAGAACATTTTTGTTGAAATCTTTAGGTCAAATTTTTTTTCTTTCAACATTGTGGTACATTGATGTATGCATATGTTGTTTGGTTTAGTCATATTTTATCCAGTAAGCATGTGCTCACATTGGAAATGGTATTGACATAAATCAGTGATTTTATTTTCATTTTGGATTGTTGTGATACATTGTTATTTGAAATTTTTAGTTGGTTTTTGGTCAAATAGGGTTTCATTTAGGCACATTGTGATGTGTTGTTTAGAATTTTGATGGTTTTTAGTCATATCTTTTGTCCAGTAACATGTCAAATGAAAATGTGCTCAAGGGAAACAGATGTATTGATACAAATCTGAATCGGATAACAGCATACCTGCATACTTTTCGTAATCTCCACGGGGGATTTTTAAGCACAAGACCTTATGCTCCTCTGATATTGTCATAAGTGTTTTAAATCTACTACTATATTGTTTGAATTAGTATATATGTGCTTAAATACCCTGTTAACTCATTTCAATGCCTGTTTTGAGGTGTTAAGTTAATATAGTAAGGAATTTCAAAATTCATGTCAACACCTCTCATGGGGGAAATCCCCCATGAATTGTGCAAGTTGGCAGGTCTGTAACAGGAAGGAAAATTATCCCCAAGATAATCCAAACTGAATTATGAAAAATAAGAATAACAAAATTCCAATATATAGAAATTGTCAATGAGTATTCAAGAAAATGACTTTAAAAGGTGTCTTAATATTATAAAGTTTGTGAGCGAATATCTTATATCATTATAATCAGCTTTACATGTATTTATATCAGCTTACCTAATAACCTGAAAAAATCTGAATAATGGCAGTCATACATTGAGAATAGATATCTCCTAATTTTAGGTAAACCATGTAATACTTCTAAAATCTCTGATCCTTTTACAACCTGGAATTTAAAACATAATGTAATCAGCAAATAAAATAAAAAGAAGATATCTCATGTTACAGATTTCTTCCTTTCGATTTTATTACTATGGTACCATAAATTTATATTTTCTTCAAAAAAGCTATAATTTTCACCAACATTGTTATTTTGTGTTATTAAATGATATTCCTTTAAAACTTTTTAAAACCATAAATAACAGAATGCAATGTATTTAAAGGTATAAATAATAACTAAACTTTAGCTCCAAGCCAGCCAGTCTTTGCTCTTACTACTGAGTGTTATGTTAAAAGTAGCAATACTTAAATTAAAGTCATTATTTAAACTGGTTAAGGGTTTAATCAAAAACCTCCAACACCACAGACAAGCACACTATCAGAAGCTGATTCATGTTATTTGAGTGTACAAGTCATATTCAGGAAAAGCATTGCATATGTTTTATGTATGTTTCTTAATATTGTGCATTTCTGCATTTATCAGAGCACTGATGAATTCCACATAAGTATAACTATTTAAAATTGGCTCCTTTCTAGTCAATATTTTACCTTTTCTCTTAGATCTGGTCGGTCCAATGCAATCATGCTGCAGATAACTGTATATGTTACAAATGAAGGATAGTCCATTAATTCATAAGATGTAAAGGTTGCAACTGTGTCCAAGAATAAACCGGCAGCTTTTTTAAAGTCCCGTATAGACATACAATACATTCCTCTGTATACTTTTAATCTGTTTCTTCTGTCCCAGTCACCACCTTCATCTATCAAACTAAAAAAAATATTAAAATATTAAATTGGCTTCTTGATATTTTTTGTGGAAGTATGATTCCACCTACAGTAATTTCACGAATGTATTCCACACATCCTTTTACACAGTAATGTTATTTCTCTAATTCTTGGCTGATTTATACTTTCACTGACCAGTTGATTATTCTTTTATAATCATTGTGTAGTTTATTTGATCTCAGTTCTTCATTGGTCAAAATTCTCTCTCTTCAATCTCCATGAAAATATGATCATGATGTGTCAATCCTTATACAACGGCATATGAAATAACATTGACTTACTATAAGTTGCTACCTTTTAACTTACCTAATAACAAATTTTAACATGTTAACTAAGCAATGATTTTAAAGTCAATGGACCATGACTGAAGGGACAGGGCAAAAAAATTTCCATGGAAATGAGATATGCCAGTACTTATACAACTGGATACCAAATATCATTGACTTATTATACAGTACGGGTAGAGACTTATTACTATAAATAACGGACTGGGACATGTCGGAAATGAATAATCCGACTTTTTTATGGTAGGTAGTATGGTCATTAATCAACAGATCCAGGTGTGAACCGTAATATAATTGTCCTTTCATCTCAATCCGTGCTACAAGATTATTACGCTTCACTGATTTCAGAATCAGGTTACCTGTGATTTAAACCTCTCAGTCACTTTATTGATTAGTTCTACATCGTATTTGACATAAAATATTTTTACAGGTGAAGTACTGAAAACAAATTTGTTTTAATAAAAATAGCCTATTTTTTTAATTATGGCTTTTTGTATTTCAAATGCTGTTTATATTCCTCAAAATATTATTTTCTATGTTCCCTGTTTTTTTTTTGTTATGTATGTTTTTCGTATTTGTTGGCATACAGTTTTTAAAATATTTTCTCTTTAATTTCTGGAAGGTTATTTTTGTTTTACTGATTTATTTTCCACGTAAACCCTTTGATTAGCAGAATGATGTGCAAAGTGCTGCTACATATGTTTTAGTTTGACAACACTACATTTGTATTTAATTTTCAGTCTGCGTTGGGTCAGTTCTGAAATAAAAATAATTACAGTGAGCAATAATTGTATACTAGTAGTTAGGTGATTCTTTATAATTGTGAATTTACTTTTTACTGTAAACAAATATTGTCCGAAAGTTGGTGATATATAACTAAAGTAGTACGCAAATAATAACACTAGAAGAAGATAACGATATTTCTCGGGGATTAGGTTTATTTTGATATTTCTGTGTTTGTTAAATATGCATGAAATAATTGCCACTGACATGAATGGACATTAAAACTAGAAGCATTCAATCGTTTGATGACCAGTTAATTAAATATTTACTATGATTTGTAGTCTTAAAGAAATGCAATTTCTCCTATTTAAATAATTTTATGGTGCTGCATTGACTCTTAATTGCATAATATTAATTTACGCACAATGCATGTTAACTTGTATGTTGTATTTTTGACACCAATCTAAAAAAAATATTTGCCGTGAAAAGACAATTCCATGATACACTTATCAGTGATCAACAGCATGTGGTTGAACTTTGAACTTGACTTCACTCACAATACAATGTTGAATGCTAAAAATAGCTGGGATTAATTTTGTCAAATGCACGTGATTTTCATATGGCGGGAAATATCATAACAGTTAACACAGGTGACCTTACTGACCGACCGTGGGAAAATCCATTCATGATTTAATTTGATACGTAATGATTGGCAGTATTGTGTGTTAGTTTTGAGGCTCATGATCGAGATCCATTAATAATTGATTTACCAGAATAGAAAATTTAATCCTTGTAATTATAAACAAAACAAGCTTTAGTCTTCTTTAACTATTTTATTTATTATATTTATTAGTCAACACCCAGATTCCTATTTAAATAATTTCGGACACCTCCTTTAAAGTTCGGGAATTATACAATTTAAACTGCCGACATCGATTTACAAAATCTTACTGACTGCACGAGCTTTAGAGAATGGCTAGAAATACGACGCATAAGTAAAGACGGCTGATCGTGAATAGTGTAAAACTTTGATCTTCATGTATTGATTGACACAATTCGTAAAATATGTTTATAAAAAACACGATTTTCATTAAAATTTCAAACATGGAAATAGAAAGGCAATATCTTTGTTATAATACAACGAGTGTCAACAAATCTGTTATTTCCATTATATGTAAATTTATTAACAAACAAAATTTAAAATAATGCTGGATCATAGAATATTGACGTGCATATGAAAAATTTTTTTTATATAAAAACTAGGAATCGAAAGATGATCACTGCGTTATAAATATTGTAAAAAAACAATTGTTTCAAAGAGATTAACAGGAAATATATGTCAAAATAGAAAGCACGGATGATCTGGCTGACCAAATTGTTTTACTTGCGAGAAATGATTGACTGGTATGAAAAGACGTAGAGGCTCCGACGGGGAACGTGGTATCGTAAGGAAAAGAACAGTTTATTCACAATGCCTATATTCAATTTGTTTATATACTTTATAAATATGATATGTTGGCCTTATACTTAAAATTGTGTTTCTATTAATAACTTTAAGGAACAGGACGTTAAAAGGGGGAAATATTGTAACCATCAACGAAAACTCGTATAATTTACGGGATTGATGTCTCAACATTTTGATTAAAACTTCGATTGAAAACAGTCCTGGTTGTTATAATTTTGAATAAAATGAAATATTTGCGGTTTACAAATACAAATAGTCTATTGGCACAAACACAATTATTATAATTGGCAACACATTTTTACAGTACGTACATTGTTAAAAATCGTCTTTCTTTCATTTTCAAGTTAAAAAAAAGTTGATCCCATATTCATGATATTACATTTTTATTTTTATTGTAATTTTTTCTTTGAATACAAAACAATATTTTACATTTATTATCTATCCTCCATAAATACTAAAATATCTATACAGGTAAAATTTAATTCTAATCAACCTGGTACAGATTGATTTACGACCTTCCACTCGGATATTGTACAGGTTAATATCACAGCAGGTGTTAATTACACTGAGACAACTGTCCGGCCAGTCTGACATCTAGACGGATTAAGACATCCATAATAATAAGTCTCTACCCTTACTGTATTATAAGTGCTTCCCCTTAAACCAACCGAATCACAAACTTTAACCTATGTAAACTTTACAAAAGTTACAAAGTCAATAGACTGTCGAAAATAGCACACCTAACTCTTGCTATTGCACTTCATCAAGACAAGACAACAAGAGTGCACACGCTGAAATGTCTCGCCTTCTTTACTAATCATTGATATTATGTTGATAGTCCTAAATATAAAGCTTTATTACAACTGTCACATAAACTTAACATTAACCAAGTAAACTAAACATTGACCAATGAACCATGAAAATGAGGTCAAGGTCAGATGAACCATGCTAAGCAGGCATGTACAGCTAACAATTCTTCCATACAACAAATATAGTTGACCTATTGCTTATAGTTTAAGAAAAACTGACCAAAACACAAAAACTTAACACTGAGCAATGAACCTTGAAAATGAGGTCAAGGTCAAATAAAACCTGTGTGACTGACATATAGATCATAAAATATTTCCATACACCAAATATAGTTGAACTATTGCATATAGTATTAGAAAAAAAGACCAAAGCTCAAAAACTTAACTTTGACCACTGAACCATGAAAATGAGGTCAAGGTCAGATGACACCTGCCAGCTAGACATGTACACCTTACAATCATTTCATACACCAAATATAGTTGAACTATTGCATATAGTATTAGAAAAAAAGACCAAAACTCAAAAACTTAACTATAACCACTGAACCATGAAAATGAGGTCAAGGTCAGATGACACCTGCCAGTTGGACATCTACACCTTATAGTACTTCCATACACTGAATATACTAGACCTATTGCTTATAGTATCTGAGATATGGACTTGACCACGAAAACTCAACCTTGTTCACTGATCCATGAAATGAGGTTGAGGTCAAGTGAAAACTGTCTGACGGGCATGAGGACCTTGCAAGGTATGCACATACCAAATATAGTTATCCTATTACTTATAATAAGAGAGAATTTAACATTACAAAAAATCTTAACTTTTTTTTCAAGTAGTCACTGAACCATGAAAATGAGGTCAAGGACATTGGACATGTGACCTACAGAAACTTTGTAACATGAGGCATCCATATACAAAGTATGAAGCATCCAGATCTTCCACCTTCTAAAATATAAAGCTTTTAAGAAGTTAGCTAACGCCGCTGCAGCCGGATCACTATCCCTATGTCGAGCTTTCTGCGACAAAAGTCGCAGGCTCGACAAAAACTGTATACACATGTTCCTGTAATGTTTCAACAAAAGCATAATATTAAGGGCTCTTCGTGAATTTTTCAATACAAACCATTCCTCTAAATGTTTATATTTTTCCTCTAAATGTTTATATTTCTATAGCTATAAAAGTGACTATTAAATATTTTTAATGGACACTTGTTTTACCCTCATTTAAACTGTATGCTGCAGATTTTTTGTATCATGTATTTTAATAATCCAAAAGTCATACACATTACTAAATAAGAAAAACATTTCCATACCAAGGCTTCCAAAACGGTCATATATTCCGGACATTTGTATTATGTCCGGTAAAAGTCCGGCTGGGCAAAGCATGAAACGGACATCTACTTTTTAGTTTTAAAGGCTTTCTTAAGCTGTTAAGAGAAAGTCATTTTAACATAATTCGCGATCTTTTTGACCCAACCTTTTGCCTTTAACAGCCACACATTTCCGGTCATAAAAGTGACATGATCATTAAGTACTATCAAAACAACCCCTACTTTAATACCTTCTCATTTTAATCAAGGCTAATTAGTTGTCGAACAGCTGAAATTTACCTGTTCAGGTGACATGTAAACTATTTTGAACCAGACATTGATCGGTCTATTCAAAATTATTTTCTTACATTTCAGCGGTTTGCATCTAATTAATTTAGTCAAAAAGATTTAAATTATCAGAAATACGTTTACAAATATGATTTGATGAAAAAATTAAAAAGGTGAAAATGAAAAATCGTCATAACCACGTTGTTTGAACCAGAGACATGTTTGAACTAGTACACTAGTGCGCATGTGCGCAGGTGTGAAATTTAATTATGCAGCCTAATTTCTTCAAAAAATGCTTAAATTGTCATTGATACCTTTTTCTCACGTTTATTTTGAATATTTTCTTGAAGAAATAACGTAGAAAGAGCTACTTACACTCATTCATGCTTTGCAAACGTACACGGAATTTACGTATCCGTCTCTGGTCCATGTTTTACCAATGTCAAGATAACATCCGGTTTAAAAACGAAAGTAAAGTTTTTGACAACGTTATTTTGCACAAAAAAAGAGTCTAAGGCAGATATAAGTACGCTGATGTTGCACACTTCGAATGATGCACTGCCAATTTAACAGTTTACGTCAGAACTTAGAATTTGAATCAAAGAAAGTTTAATATTGTTTTTTTTTAATGTCAATCATTGGGATGTCCAACTCGGCAACTGATTACCATAATTGCCTTTTGTTTATTTAGTCTTAAGGGATTAAACTCGGGATAATATATAAATTGTCTGGCTGGCTAAAAATAATGTTGGAAGCCCTGTTCCATACACATTAAAAATTCTGCTTTCGGGCTCTGTGTAACATAAAGGAGATTACAAAACTACAAAAGGTAATAATGAAACCACTTTAAAAATACAAACGTCTGTGCTTTTTCTAGATTCCTTGTGATGAGATCATGATCCATATAATACAATCCTATTCTGATCAAGTGAAATACTAAATCAAGTCTGTATCCCAGTGTCACAGTTTTTTCTTGTGTTTTTCTGAACTGTGCTAAAGATCCCTCCTGTTAATAAAAAAAAAATCTTTAAAATCATAATAGTTTTTACTATCCTTTATATGCAGTAAATGTAGGTTAGTTTTCATTAACATATGTGTAAATATAAAATTTTAACTGGTACTCTTGTAAGATAGTGTTCTTACTATTTTTTTGTAGTGAATTATTCCCTTTCTCATCTAATACAATTTTTAATAATAAATTGCAAATTCCTAGTCCAGATCTCTACTCTACCTGAAAGTTTGTTTTTCTCTTAAAAGTGTAAGTGACCTATCAATGTAAAGGAGCTTGTCGAGTGACTTAAAAACTAAAAGTTGGTGGTGTATCTATTCATGAGCAATACATTTCTAAGTGTGAATTTTTCTGTAAATATTCAGGATTACATGCCTTCCATACTGTACATTTAATTTTGTATTTTAATTTTGAACTCATTTCACCTTTAAATTTTTAATAGATAGAAGAACATCATTTATTCAAAAGTTGTAAATAATCTCAATTAATAATTGACTCACCATCCTAAATTTGATTTACATTTCAAACTTGTAAAATGTTTACACTGCAAGTACATTTTCATGATGTTAAATATTAATAAATCTTTATGTACCTTGTCCCCAATTTTACACAAATATTCTGCCTTTTTCAACATAAATTCCCTTATTTCTGTTTCTCCAAGATTTTTCTCAGCGTCTTCAATTGCATCATCCAGTCTCTTTAATTCTGCTGTGTTTGAATCTTTCATTTTCTTTAACAAACCAGAATCACATGGCCAGCCAAACTCTTTACAAACCTCCTCATAATAAGGTGCCATATCTATAAATTATAACATTAATGTCTTTATATTAAATATAAATAAGAAGATGTGGTATGAGTGCCAATGAGACAACTCTCCATCCAAGTCACAATGTATAAAACGGAAACAATTATAGGTCAAAGTACAGCCTTCAACATGGAGCCTTGGCTCACAAAAGGAACACCAAGCTAAAAAGGGCCACAAAATGACTAGTGTAAAACAATTCAAACAGGAAAACCAACGGTCTAATCTATATAAAAAAAACAAGAAATGAGAAACACTTATGTACCACACCAAAAAACGACAACCACTGAACAACAGGCTCTTATATTAACTGTATAATAAAACATCAATTGCAAAATATGCTAGTATTAGTAAAATGTATTTGATTTTGTCACCTTTTTTTTAGTTTAAGGGTTCTTGTTTTCATAGTTCAAAAATATGATGCAAACTATGTATCAAACTTTGGTCATGTTGGTCTAATGAGAAAATATTTAAACTTGAGATTTAAAAAAAAATATTCCTGACAAATAAAGTCAGTCCATGGCTTTGTTCTTTAATACACAGCTGTGGCGGTAGCAATGATGGAGCTCTATCATATCTAGATATATAGACATGATGCGCACCAATCTTTAAATTTGATATTCATTTTCTGACTATTTCATCTCTGACTTTAAAATAATATGAGGCTAACAAAGTATTTTATTACAGTACATGATGTTTTATGATAATTGGATATTGCAGCTGTATCGTTTCTTGCAGCTTTAAAGAGATGTGCATTTCCTGTACCGATTTTTATCATTTGTTGTTTTACAAGTACACTGCTAAAGAATAAAAGAAGGAGAGTTAAGATCACACAAAAGAAGTTTAACCCTGCTACATATTCATGGGTCGGAAATGTCGACACTGGTATTTCTTAGTTACAACTTGATGTTTTTTGTTATTTAGAGAATTTGGTGTTGGTTGCCGATACTCTTTGACAATGTTTGATATCTTTAATTTTACAGAATGTTCAAAGCTTGAAAAACTGTAAATATAGACAAATCGACATTTACAGGACATTTCGTCATTATTCATTCATCGATAAAATTGTCAACACTAAACATGCTAAATTGTGCAGTTTTAAATCACACAAAAAAAAAATATTTTAGATTTCATTTATAGTACAAACATGATAATGTCTGTGAATTTCTAACTTCCAAACATACAGACACTCATTCAAACATTATCAAGTTTAAAAATATATGAATTGAACCATAGAAGCTTGACATAGTAAAAAGAAAGGTTTGGTGACAAAGCAAAATTGAAAATAACTAATGAAAATTTCTCTCTATTTATGTTTTTCTCACTATTTTCCTCTGCAAACTTGAGGATTTTTGTTTTAATTTCTTTATCATTTTTGTATTTAGGTGTTTCCAACAAGAATTTCCATTGTGCTAGCTCATAATTTGGGTTTTTCTCCAACCCTTCTTCTTCTAAGTTTTCCACCGGCATGTTGACAACCGGAAGTATACAATTTACTGCGTGACAGTATTTGTTTAGTGCTTTGAATGAAATTAATAAGCAATTGTACTAATTAAGTTCTATGTAGATAAATTAGATTAAATAATTGCATATCATTCTTAGATAATTTAATATATTTCGGTCTTCGTTTGTATTGATGTGAGAACCAATATTATTAGTAAGCCCGATCCTGTAAAATATTGGAAATTTAGCAGACAAAATTTTTGCAAATCAAAAGTATTTGACAGCAAATGCGGTGACACTTGTAAACACGATAAAGGCCCACAAAAGTAGTTCAGAATGCCAGGAATGGAAAAATTACATTTGGAAGATGTACTGGAAGACAGTCCTCAGGTAAAAAAGCATTGATTTGTGGGTGTAGACCTTGACAGGTTTGGGCTAACACAACATCTCACTTCTCATTAGCAGTGCATTACAAGATTAACTTTATTTACATTTCACAAAAACCTGTAACTCTTTTAGAAAAAAATAACCATACAGAGATATGACAAGGGTTGCAATGATGGGGTACTGCTGTGTGTTCATAAAAACACAGAAAAATAGAATGGAGTTTTTAAGTTGAAAGAAAAATAAATTATATGTATGATGTAGGTGTTACTTATAGATACTGGCAAAGATTACTTTCAAAACATAATATTAACGGAAAAATTATTGTTACGATTAAAACGTATTGCTGAAATACAAGCTGGTCAGGTTGGTAACTGATTAAGGATGTAACTATAATATTTGTGTCTACAGTTATATATTGGGTTTTTGTTAAGTCAATGCATTTCAATGTATGTATTAAATTTATAAAAATACAACTTGAAAGCCCTTATATTCTCAATTAATTTAATTATACAATATTTTATATACATTGTATAGTTAATTAGATTTGACAACTTCTGCACGTCCAGTATGCGCTTTTGGGGGAATGTCAAGATTTAGGCTGACACTTTTTTGGTGGAACCTCTTAAGACAGCCATCACACACGACTGAAGCCACAGTGTGCTCCTCTGTTTTGCACACCAAACAATTCCACTCTGCAATGTCCATCTTTCGTGACTGCCATGCTTTGGGTAAAAAGTACTTTTACATCAGGCATCCTCGTTAAATTTAATGTTTTTGTTCAAAAGTTTTGTGAGGAGCATATGATGTTGTATTATATTGTCTGTTAAAATTATCTCATTTCTGTTCATTACTGAAGTAAGTTTCAACACCACTTTTAAGGTAATATGAAACGAGTTTCTTGTAATTATAATGTTATCGAAATAATGAACCAATGCATGCATATATACCAAACTAAGTTCTGTATGCACGCTTTTTTTACATTTATTACAAATCTATTACATATTATCGACAACTTATGTTTCATTTAGTGATTGTTGATTGCTAGCTAATTAACTTTTGAGTATGTTGCCGAAGTTTACCTGATTGTGACATTGATAAACAATCAACACAGAGCATGTGAAACACATGCAAAATAAGTGAATTGATAGAGCTATGATATTTTATTAAGTGTTATCAACTGATATTTGTTGAGCCTGCGACTTATGTCACAGAAAGTTTGACATACACATGCATAGGGATAGTGATTCGGCGGTGGCGTTAACGAACTACTTAAAAGGTTTATATTTTAGAAGGTGGAAGACCTGGATGCTTCATACTTCATATAGATGCCTTATGTTATGAAGTTTCCGTCTGTCATATGTCCATTGTCCTTGACCTCATTTTCATGGTTCAGTAATTACTTTTTTGTAATGTTAATTTCTCTCTTATTACATGTATTATGAGTAATAGGATGTGCATACCTTGCAAGGCCCTTATGCCTGTCAGACAGTTTTCATCTGACCTCGACCTCATTTCATGAATCAGTGAACAAGGTTAAGTTTTTGTGGTCAAGTCCATATATCAGATACTATAACCAATAGGTCTACTTTATTTGGTGTATGGAATGATTGTAAGGTGTACATGTCCAACTGGCAGGTTTCATCTGACCTTGACCTCATTTTCGTGGTTCAGTGGTTAAAGTTTTTGTGTTTTGGTCTTTTTTTCTAATACTATATGCAAAATATAGGTCAACTATATTTAATGTATGGAAATATTTTATGATGTACATGTCAGTCTGGCAAGTTTTATTTGACCATGACCTCATTTTCATGGTTCATTGCTCAGTGTTAAGTGTTTGTGTTTTGGTCTGTTTTTCTTTCTATAGGTCTACTATATTTGGTGTATGGAATTATTGTAAGGTGTACATGTCCAACTGGCAGGTGTCATCTGACCTTGACCTCATTTTCATGGTTCAGTGGTTAATGTTAAGTTTTTATGTTTTGGTCTTTTTTTCTAATACTGTATGCAATAATTCAACTATATTTGGTGTATGGAAATATTTTACGATGAACATGTCAGTCTGGCAGGTTTTATTTGACCTTGACCTTGACCTCATTTTCACGGTACATTGCTCAGTGTTAAGTTTTTGTGTTTTGGTCTGTTTTTCTTAAACTATAAGCAATAAGTCAACTATATTTGGTGTATAGAATGATTGTTAAATGTATATGTCTGTCTGGCAGGTATAATCTGACCTTGACCTCATTTTCATGGTTCATTGGTCAATGTTAAATTTTCATGGTTTAGTTTGTTTCTTAGATACTATAAGCAATAGGTCAACTATATTTGGTGAATAGAATGATTGTAAGGTGTATATATCTGTCTGACAGGTATCATCTGACCTTGACCTCATTTTCATGGTTTATTGGTCAATGTTAAGTTTTCATGGTTAAGTTTGTTTCTTAGATACTGTAAGCAATAGGTCAACTATATTTGGTGTATGGAATGATTGTAAGGTGTATATATCTGTCTGACAGGTATCATCTGACCTTTACCTCATTTTCATGGTTCATTGGTCAATGTTAAGTTTCTGGTTAAGTTTGTTTCCTAAAAACTAGAAGCAATAGGTCAACTATACATGTATTTAGTGTATGGAATGATTGTAAGGTTTCTGGTTAAGTTTGTTTCCTAAAAACTAAAAGCAATAGGTCAACTATACATGTATTTAGTGTATGGAATGATTGTAAGGTGTACATGTATTTCATGTTTGGTTTATCTTACCGCATCTTCTTATTTGTACATGTATATTGGAATAATTTATGATTATTTGAATGGAAGGTTTTAAAAGAATTGTAGAATAAATATTTTGAAGTTATGAAATATTAAAACACTTATTGAAAATATGTTTATATATATTACAACATTTGTTAAATAGTTGATTGAGACAATGATTGCACATAATTTTACAGTACAGTTTTTGCATACATTATATAAATTTGAATTGATGTTCATGATTTAGATTTACACCGTCTTTTAATATCAAAATATTTTGGCTTTTGCCACCTGCATTGTTGTCTTAAATACCTCACAATGCTTATCCTATTTTCCTCAGTTCTTTATTAGTCTCCTTTTTTTTTATCATAAGTTGTTTCTTTCATATTTCTTGTTGTTGGTCTGATGATGTAATGTTGTAGCCTAACATTACTGGAGGAACACTCAAGTGCTGTACATATTTTGTGAGTTGCACAATCTCTAGGGAAGGGGTACACGCATATATACATGTTGGGGTCAAAGGTCAAGGTCACTGTTACCAAAAAATATATTTTTCAAGTTATAACAAATATTGATTTCACGTTTTTTCTATTATCTTGAAATCTAAAATAAAAATAGAGATACTTTAAATATCAAAGATGACAAGTAAGACAAGATCTGAAAATAAATCAACAAGACACAAATCATCAGTTGACTCTGGAAAGGAGTAATTGGCCTTAAATGACAAACTTTTCCCTTAACTTTTTGCATTATGGACTGTAATCTTGAAACTGCAATAGATAGAGAAAAGCTTTTATCAGCAAAAGTGATCATTGATGTTGCTGCGTTGACTTCCTACTTACACCATGATGATGCTTTTAACTCCTTAGAACAAGGAATTATTTTAATCTGGAATAATTTTGAAATCTGAAAAATTGGTAAGAAATGTATGATAATAACTAACCCTATTTAGGAGGGTTAGCCATGTGTGCATAGCTAATGGGGGTTAGTTAGTTCATACTGAAATATCAGTTAAAGTAAAAGTTACCTTACCCATGCTTGCATCATCATGCTAACCCTCTTTACAAAATTCTTAGTCTGGTTAGGTTTCATCATACATTTCTTATCAATTTTCTGGAATTCAAAATTATTCCAGATTCAAATAATTCCTTGTTTTTAATACATCATTGTATACATCATGTACAGAAAATCTTGAAATCTATGCTTCTCAGCTAATGCTTCTTTGATGCTTCTTTTGTGTCAGTAATTAATTACAGAAGCTTAACATATGATTGATCTTTTTTCTTTTGTTTTCTTTATAGACTGTCTGACAATTTGTTACACAGACTCAATTGTAGAAAATGTGAATATGTTTTTCAGACAAAAAGTCCATAGCTGAAGTCTATAACTTTTTTGGACGATCCTGCTTACCCCAACAAGATTAAAAAGTTCAGTGGCTATAATGCTTTTTTAGCTTACCTGACCTGAAGGGATTACCATTGGTGGCATAAACAATTTATTTGTTATCCGATAGATCCACTCAAATAGTTAAATTTTCAAAATTTTGCATTTGGTGAAGTCAAGTGCATATGTTGTTGTGAGATGTAGACATAAGTGCATTTTGTCGAGCCTGCGACTTCTGTTGCAGAAAGCAAGACATAGGGATAGTGATACTGAGCCAGCGGTGTCGTTAACTTTCTACTTAAAAGCTTAATATTTCAGTAGGTAGAAGACCTGGATGCTTCATACTTTGTATATAGATGCCTTATGTTACGAAGTTTCCATCAAATGTCCATTGTCCTTTACCTCATTTTCATGGTTCAGCAACTGCATAAAAATGTGTTCTATTATCAATTTATCATGTGAATATTTAACTATTAAAAGAAAATAGGATAACTCTATTTGGTGATAATTACATTACATGAACAATGTATGTACTTTTGATTGTCTGATTATAATCAATATGCATTTACTGAAGTCATTGTTAAGTTTTTGTGCTTTGATCTGTTTTTCAAATACTATTAGCACAATGTCAACTATATGTGGTGTATGGACTGATTGTAAGGTGAACATAGATATAAGAAGATGTGGTATGAGTGCCAATGAGACAACTCTCCATCCAAGTAAAAATTTATAAAAGTAAACCATTATAGGTCACAGTACGGTCTTCAACACGGAGCCTTGGCTCACACCGAACAGTAAGCTATAAAGGGCCCCAAAAAATTACTAGTGTAAAACCATTCAAACGGGAAAACCAACGGTCTAATCTATATAAA